CATGCCAACGCCTGACTTGACAAGGGACATCGGCTTTTAAGGTCTCATCTGAAGGACCCGCAACTTTCACTTCAAGTCATGAGCGCAAGGCGAAGGAACAGTAGCTACCCAATTTTTTAGTTGGCTCAGTCGTGGCCCAGATTCCAACTTACGACCTCCCTATCAGTGAGCAAGCACTCTACCGACTGAGCTACTGTGAACGGTTTGTAGACTGGAGATCATATAGAGATCACTATATTTTATAGGTAGAGATTCTCCATACACAATACAATGTACAATGTAGAGAGAGATCTTTTTAACCTATATATATATTATTATTCTCTGTACATTTTACAGTGTGTATTGTAGAAACTTCTGCATTTTGTTACACTATATACAGAGATCAATCTTTCTTTATATCAACTTACCGACACAGTGGTAAATCTCTTCATTTATACTATACTGTATACAGGATTACTTTCGCCCCGTGTTATTTTCGTTTTTTTCACATTTCCAAACATTTTACCCGGTTTTAAATTCGCCAAATTCTGTTTAAGAAATTCTGCTGTGTTTTTTTAATTCGCCCCGTTTTGAATTCGCCCACCTATGAATAGGGCGAAAATAAAATGGGGATGAAATTTTCCCTGTATACAGTATATATATTTCCATTTCTAATTTTTTTTCTCCCCTGGGATAACTCTTTGAAAGTTAGTGGAGTTGATTTCATGATAATTCTACCGGAATTTAAATTAGGCAAATCAATAGGTCAGAAGCTAATGAGGTCAAATATGCATGTAAATCTTGTAGGCTGTCTTTGTGTTTGACGTCAGTGGGTGAGGAATATTGAAATTGGCATGGGAGTCCTCATGTAATTTTTAAATCCATTAGTCTACATTTTTAAAAATCTAAACCTACAGTTTTATTTCATAACAAGAGGCCCATGGGCCTTATAGGTCACCTGAGTATCGTGCAACAACTTTCAAACAATTAAAATTGGTTCGTGTTTTAAACCAGAGGCCATGAAATTCACAATTCACAATTTTGAAAGAGGCACCATTGCTCCTCATAATTATGAGCTTAGCATGCTTACTCTATTTACCTAATACCCAGATGTAGATCAGAGTAACAAAGAGAAAATGCACTTCCACTTTATAAACAGTTGTGCACCTCATCCCAAAGGAACCACTGACCCTGGGGCCACATATTTCAAAATTTTGCAAATTTTATCATAAAATGGTTGATGAATACTAGATGCACCTTTCTTCATCATAAGTACATATACTTGGATCATTGGCATAAAACCCAGGAGCAAAGAAAAGATTTTCAAAGATTTAATGTATTTTCACTATGTAATCAATAGAGCCCCGCCCTAACACCAGAACCCCTGACCCTGGGGCCATAAAATTCACAATTTTGGAAGAGGCACTCTTGCTCAACATAACTATGTGTTAAGTTAGTTCATTTAATACCCAGGGGCAGAGAAGATTTTCAAAGAATAAATGCATTTTTAAAAAATAACACCAGAACCCCTGACCCTGGGGCCATAAAATTAAAATTTTATTTTTAATAACTATGTCTTAGTTAGTTTACTTAATACCCAAGAGCAGAGAAGAATTCTTTCAAAGAATAAATGCATTTTCACTATATGATTCTCTCTAATACCAGAATGGGGCCATAAAAACAAAGAGGCACTCTTGCTCAACATAACTATGTACTTAGTTAGTTTACTTAATACCCAAGAGCAGAAAAGAAGATTTTCAAAGAAATAATGCATTTTCACTATATAATCTATATAGCCCTAGCACAAAAACCCCTCATCATGAATTTCACAATTTTGGAGGAAATGCTCATTACATTCATGCCAACAGTTTGCCTGCTTGAAGGAGTATTTTTAAAGATTGCAATAATTTTGGTGGTTTTGGCCCCACCCTTAAAAAAATTTTTGTTCTTCACCCACAGAGAGACAAAATTTGGTTGAAACTGGTTTGGCAGTTTCATAATCTAAAAATATTTGGAGAGAGAGAGAGAGAGATTTTATGAGTAAATGTAGACTTGGTGTTAAGAGGTTAGAGATGACAACATTTATAAACAAATTATATAAAACAAAAAATATCACAATTCATAATGACAACTTTTTGATACAAAGACTACAAAGCAATTTAAACAAGAGATGTTTGTAAAACATTTATGCCCCCCTCCCCCCAAATTGGATCTTTTCACAAAATATATTTGTCTAAATACATTACCCAAAACATAACTGGACCTAGATATTTAGCTAAAAATCTGTATACTAAATTTAATTTCAATATGTACAACCTCAGCAAAGAAAATGAACGGAAACTGCAAATAATTGGAATTTTACCAAGTCCAAGGGGCATAACTCCAACAAAAAGGGTGCGATCATACCCAAAACATAACTTGGCCTAGATATTCAGCTGAAAAATCTGTATACTAAATTTCATTTCAATATGTGCAACCTCTGCAAAGGAAATGAACGGAAACTTCAAATAAGTGGAATTTTTCTAAGTCCAAAAGGGCATAACTCTAACAAAAAGGGTGCATCCGTACTCAAAACAGAACTTGGTCTAGATATTTATCTGATAATTCTGTATACTAAATTTCATTTCAATATGTGCTACCTCTGCAAAGAAAATGAACGGAAACTGCAAATAAGTGGAATTTTTCTAAGTCCAAGGGGCATAACTCTGTAAAAAAAAAGGCGCTATCATACCCAAAACAGAACTTGACCTAGATATTTACCTGATAAACCTGTATACCAAATTTCATTTCAGTATGTGCAACGGTTGTGAAGAAAATGTAACTAAATAAACATGTAAGCAGCAAAGCAATATGCCCTCCCTTCTTCGAAGGGGGGCATAAAAATAACAACTCTGATAAAATATAGAATTTTATTTTTAAAATTGTCTTTCATTTAAGATAGAAAAATTCTTTAAAAATCAGATGAGAATCTCACATATTAAAAAGAAACATTATGACTACATAACTAATCAAAGTAACTGAAGAAGAGCCTCATCATGCATTGAAGAAATATCTATCAGAAGAACATGGTATTTTTCTTTAATAATTTATCATCTTAACAAAACTTAAAGAATAATAAAATATAAAACATGGCCCATTGTTCTTTTCAAGAGAGAGAAAAGAGGAGATAATCTAAAAATATTTGGAGAGAGAGAGATTTTATGAGTAAATGTAGACTTGGTGTCAAAAGGTTAGAGATTACAACATTTATAAACAAATATAAAACAAAAAATATCACAATTCATAATGACCATCACAGCATGATCATTTTATAACAAGAATTCATCACAAATATATTTGATACATTTTGACATTTGGCACAAAATCTACTACACTACTAATATGGATTTCAAATTATGACAATGTAGAGAATCACAGCCCATGACTGCAAGTATAAATGGGTCAGATATATTTCTTTGACAAACACGCATTTTCTTTTTTCATATTTTTCTTTATCTGAATTAAATTGAGATTCAGTGATGGGGCATGTAGTACATAAGTTATCTTTCCCTTATATATATGTAACATTATTATAAAGGTATGTAAATAAACATGTAAATATGTATCTTGAATGTGACTATAATTATACATATATTCAAATTTATCAAAAGATAATTGAAATGTAATTACTCTTGTTAAATACTTAAATAATATCAGGCACTTGAATATGCATGTACATGTATTCTGTTGTACTATATTAATAAATAAAATACATATGACATTTTTATTAAATAATTACAGTCCAACCTTGTTATCTCAATCTCAATGATTCAGGATATCTGAGGATTCCAGATATCCAGGGTAATAAACATAAAAAAATAATGGGTTTGGGACTATAAATATCACATCCATGGTATCTGAGATGTCAGTGTTCAAAATACATAAGTTCAGCTGTATATTGTAAAAGGATTGAAGAAATAAACAATGAAAAAAGGTTGGGTAAAATCTATTGAACTTTTGTAATCTTTCAACATATCTTACATCCTTATCCTTAAAGTGCAAAGTTAATATTCTACTTTTGATATCTACATGTGCCATTCTTTCATGGAATAAATAAAAGATACCCGTTTTTACACGTTTCTCATATTATTATAAAATGCTGTTTGGTTCATGTTACAGAGGGCAATAAGACTTTTAGGTATTTAAAACTACTCTGAGAAATCATTTCTCAGTCTTAAAAAAAGTGAAATTCTATACATTAACACTTTTTACAGATATAAGTCCCAGTATTTAACTTAGCACTAATCTAAAGAGTAAGATTCAAAAAAGGAATAGAGTATATTGAAGTAATTCTTCATTGTCATGCAACAGAAAGTATCTACTCCATACCTAAAATCGAACATAATGGACATGAAGATAATTATATAGTCACACCTCATTATCTCGAGCTGAATGGGGCAGAGAAAAAAACTTCCGAGATATCAAAAACTCCATATCAAGGATAAAATAAGAAAAATCATTGTGGGACTTTAACATTACTTTGCCAAATTAATGGTATTTGAGATTTCCATGCTTGAGATACCAAAGTTTAACTAGTGATTCTTCTCTCTTAACACACATGAACAAAGGAAGTAAATGTCATTTTGATAAAAAGTCAAACACAGGAAATCTTTAAACATGGTACTCCATTAACAGAGCTAAAATTATATCAAATACATATATCAAAATTAATACATATTTCAATTAAATCTTAAACAATTGAGAAGACATGACAAATGTTTGTTCACGTTCATAGCACTTCAAACTCAGAAAATGAGAAAAAGTTTTGAGAAATTTACTTTTGCCAAACACTGCAGACCTGCATACAATCACTTACTTAGGGCTGCTGGGGTGCTTTACTTAATTCCTTTATCAAAAGAAATAAACTGAAACACCCCAAATATCAACAAAGTCTTTCGAAAAATACTAAGTTTCTTTGTTGTTAATTCTTTCCTCGTTTGTTTGCAGTGTTGACCAGGCGAGCGTAAATGCCCTGTTTGGACATTAAGTCACTGTGACGACCTTGCTCCGCGACCTCTCCGTGTTTGATGACACAGATCTTGTCTGCGTTCTGAATCGTGGAAAGTCGGTGAGCTATGACGATACATGTTCTTCCTGCTCTTGCTTTGTCAAGGGCTTCTTGGACAATCTAGAAAATTAATTAAATTAAGTTATAGAATACAGTATTGCAATCCATAAATCTTCATATTATGCATTTTTTGCATTAGCAATTTCTTTTCTTATGCAGTTCATAATAGAAATTACAAATGTAAAATATTGTTAGTTAGCTTGCAGATGTATTCATAATTCTTTCTTTTAGCCCTAACTGGCAGCAAATTCAGAATTTAATGTAAAAGCTTCCAAACATAATGGATTCAACATTAACAAATAGCATAAAAGGGTTGACATCTTACTTTAGAAATTGACAATAATTTTGATACTGATGATATAAAAACTTCCTGAATGTATGGACAGTGAAGGATATTTAAACAGTGTATTACCTTTTCACTCTCTGTATCAAGGGCAGAAGTGGCCTCGTCCAACAGAAGGATCTTGGGATTTCTGACCAGTCCACGGGCGATGGCCACTCGCTGCTTCTGTCCACCTGAGAGTTGTGTCCCCTTGTCACCGCAAAGTGTGTCATAGCCCTGTGAAACACAGAATTTCATGCTAAAAAATTGCTCTCAAAAATATTTGATTGGTTTCTAGCTTATAATTTAAAGTGCATATCACACATTCATGTAAACAGCTACTTCTGAAAGTAATTTAAATCCTCAAAAAGTTTATCAAATTGAAAAAAAAATTAACTTTAGTTCATAGACATGATTTTCTTACCGATTCATTTCATAACTACAGATCTTTTTTTTTAAGTACATGACAAATATTTCATTTTCTTACATTTGGCAGAGACTGGATAAACTCGTGAATATTAGCATTTCTGGCGGCCTCAATGATCTCTGCCATCGGAACCTCTCTGAAGTTATCCCCGTATGCGATGTTCTCCGCAATACTGCAATCAAACAGCACGGGCTCCTGGGATACGATTCCAATCTGACGACGCAACCACTGGACGTTCAGATCTTTTAAATTATTCTTATCCAGTAGCTAAAATATATTGTCAAAGAGATATTTTACAAAAAAATCTGCAGTCATTTGAGTATTAGTAAATTTACACTGATATAATTGTGTTGAATATGATTACATATTATTCAGTGCTTATAACATCGATATTTTATGATCAAGAAAATTAGCTGACACAATTCATTGTTTTAACATTTATTTCGACTGAAAATTAAAATGTTTTCAAAATACTGTTTAAGTGGAATTTTTAGCAGATTTTGCAGGCTGTCTTTTAAAAATCAGTTATCAAATTTAGTGAAATGTAATTTTAGCAATTTTATTGTGCATTGAAACATATCGTATAGCGGGTTTTCTTGGCGGGTGTAAATTTTGGCGTTTTGCCTGCTCAAAGGTATGTGAATAATTTTGGCATAATTTATTTTAGTGGACACAGGGTTTTATCTCTTTGCAAATGAACACTAAGAAGAATACTGAATATTTTAGCAATTAAAATGCCAAAATAAGCCAAAATTAGCACCTCGCTAAAATAACAAGCTATACGGTAACAGTTACAAACAAATTGATAGAGATAGAGATATTTCAATTTAGCGATATCAACACTCTCTTTAAAATGCCAAAACTGAATTCTCCCTTAAATTTCTGCTTATACATCTACCATACTATGTAAAATAGTTCTAGAATGACAAAAATAACACAACATAGTGGTATCTACTGACCACATCACCCGTGTCTGGGTCATAGAACCTCTCAATCAGCTGCATGGTGGTGCTCTTGCCACAACCTGAGGCTCCCACTAACGCCAGGGTCTCCCCGGGGGTCACATCAAGATTCAGACCCTGTAGGACCTCCATATCCGGCCGAGTCGGGTAGCGGAAATGGATGTTTCTGAAGGACACAGCGCTAGTGAAACTCTCCTGTAAAAGAAGGAAAATGGTTTTAATTGAAAGTTAAATATGTATGTATTGGAAGAAAGATAATTAAAATCCTATTATTATTAGCTTTTGTTAGCAATAGCACAAACACTGTTACGCTATAGAGAAAAACGAAATTCAAAACGACTTGCAGATTGTCAAAATAAAAATTAACAAGAGGCCCATGGGCTTTATAGGTCACCTGAGCATTATGCAACAACTCTCCAGTGATTGAATTTGATTCTGAATCATGTTTTAAGCCAGATGCTATGGCATTCACAATTTTAATGGCATCATTGATCATCATGACTATACACTTAGCAGTTACTTAGTTTGGTTACTTAATACCCATAGGCAAGGCAGAGGAACAAAAAATGCATTTCAACGAATCAGTAATATTCAGCAATAATCAGTAGTGCCCCTACCACACATGAACCCCTGACCCTTAGGCCTAGATCCACACATTGCACAATTTTTGAAAAGGCATCCTTGCTTTTCAAAAATATTTGATTAATACCAAGGAGCAGATTTCAAACAATTCATTCATTTTCAGTCTATAAGTACAGCCCCCCTCCTCTATAGTACCCCTGACCCTGAGGCCTTGAAATTCACAATACTGGAAGAATGGGTCTTGGTTCATAACTATATATTAGGTAGTTCAACTGCTTAATACCCAGGAGCAGAGAAGAAGATTTTCAAAGAATTCATGAACTTTCACTATATAATCAATAGAGCCCCGCCCTATCACAAGAACCCCTGACCCTGAGGTCCTAAAATTCACAATTTTGGCAGAGGCACTCTTGCTCATCATAACTATGCAGTCACTTAGTTAGTTTATGTAATACCTAGGAGCAGAGAAGAAGACTTTCAAAGAATTCAAGTATTTTCACTATGTAATCAATAGAGTATCCCCCCCCAAACACAAAAATGATCCTGGGGCTTTAAAATTCACAATTTTAGCAGAGGCACTCTTACTCATTATTTTAACTATGCACTTAGTTAGTTTATTTAACACCTAGGAGCAGAGAAGAAGACTTTCAAAGAATTCATGTATTTTCACTACATAATCAATGGAGCCCCCCCCCCCCAACACAAAAACCCCAAACCCGAGGGCCATGGATTTCATAATTTTGGTAACAGTACTCATGCTCATCAAAACTATTCACTTATTTTATCTATTTAATACCCAGGAGCAGAGAAGAAGATTTTCAAAGAATTCATGTATTTTCACTATATAATCAATAGAGTCCCCCTGACACAACACCAGAACCCCTGACCCTGGGGCCGTAAAATTCACAATTGTGGTAGAAGCACTCTTGCTCATCATAACTATGCACTTAGTTAGTTTATTTAATACCTATGGACAGAAAGGAAGATTTTCAAAGAATTCATGTATTTTCACTATATAATCAATAGAGCCCCCACCCCCAACACCAGACCCTCTGACCCTGGGGTCCTAAAATTCACAATTTTGGTAGAGACACTCTTGCTCATCATAACTATGCACTTAGTTAGTCGATTTAATATCCAGGATCAGGGAAGAAGATTTTCAAAGAATTTATGTATTTTCCCTAATATATAATCAATAGAGCCCCACCCTAATACCAGAACCCCTGACCCTGGGGCCATAAAATTCACAATTTTGGTAGAGGCACTATGGCTCATCCTAACTATGTACGTAGTTTGTTCATATAATACAGGAGCAGAGAAGAAGATTTTCAAAGAAATAATGCATTTTCACTATATACATCAATTTGAAAGCCCTAAGCAAAAGAACCCCTGTATTTCAGGGCCAAGAATTTCACAATTTTGGTAGATACATGCTGATAACAATCATGCAAACAGTTTGACTGCTTGATGTCCAGGAGTAAAGAAGAATATTTTTAAAGATTGCATTAACAAATCGTGGTTTTGCCCCACCCCTCAGGCCCCATGGGGGCAAGGTTGAAATTCAAAATTTTTGTTCCCCTTCACCCATAGATGCTTTGTACCAAATTTGGTTGAAATTGGTTCAGTAGTTGCAGAGAAGAAGCTGAAAATGTTCAAATGTTAACGCACAGCGCACGACGACGGACGAAAACAGATAGCAATAGGTCACCTGAGTTTACTCAGGTGACCTAAAAACTTTGAAAATTGAACCATAACTAATATGGACTTTGGTTAAGTAAATCAATAAATGCATCAATACATTCCAAGTATTGCAAAAATGAATTTTAAGAAATCCTTACATCTTTGATTCCTTCCTCGGAGTAAGGATCAATCTTGGGCTCCCTGTCTAACAACTTGAAGATTAATGCAGCGGACTTCTTGGCCTTCCCAGCATCTGGTGCAAACGCACTGGCCTCACCCATAGCCATGGCACCAAACACAATAGCACTGAATACTCTGTGAAAAAGGACATCAAATTATTTTTTGGTAAGCTGTTAATCCAATAATTAAATGAATATTGCATACGAGTTCCTCATATTTTGCTGAACGCCAATTGTCATTAATATTCTTTCCATAGTAAAGCCCTTTCACAATATCTAGTGACCACCACAATATAAATTTTATTTTATTTGTGATGCATATTGCAAAAGAATGAGGAATCCATTCAGAAATTTATTTATCAATTAAAATGTCTTTCTCCTTAAATAAATTGATAAAATTTGATTAACATGGAAATGAAAGAATGAAACCACAGTAGTTACTTATAAGTTCTTTTGAATAACTATCAAGAAAAATCAAAAAATACTTTTGGAAGTGGAAATTTAATTCATAATTATTTCAATTTGTCTTCCATATCTGACCAAGTCCACCTTCATTCAGTATGTACATGTACATAGTTTTATCCATGAACTACATTCTGACCATAAGTGAATTTTCAATTATCAAATCCAGAAAATAGGTCTGCGCAAGGTCTTTCAGATATCGTTCAAATTTACAATACTTTTTTCATTGCACAGACCCATGACTACATATAATTCTCAAAAATCAACTAAACAGAATTATTCAGAATAAATTATGATAACCTACTTGAACACATCGGTGAATGTCATTTCGTTCTCCTCTATCATGTAAGCACCAAAATAGAAGGCGGTGGCGTAGGCGAAGAACATGACAGCGGTGGACGCCGCGAAGGCGATTCCTGTCAGGTGGGACTTTTTGAGGGCGGTCTTGTAGGGACCGTCCAGCTGTGACTTGTACCGCTCTACCATCATGTCCTCCTGACACAGACTAGCCACCGTACGAATGTTCTCTATCGCCTCTGTCGCTGTTTTACCTGATTCTTCCAAAGCTTCCTTATTCTGACCTGTAAGTAATAATATTCCATACAATTAACCCTGTAAGGAACCTTCCATACCATAAATCTGTAAGTAACATCCCATATAGCTATAACCTCTCAATGCACCCATACACTCATATTCCATACTGTAACAATTACCTACCAGCAGCTTCCATATATATATGTGCAATAATCTTTGTCATTCCACAAAGTTTAAAGAATTTTCTCACATACAGTTAATCTGTAAGTCATATCCCATACAGTTAACATCCAATTACAATTTAATATCCAGTAAGTCATATCTTATACAGTAAATTACTCATACAATTAACCTGTAATTCATATCCCATACATTTAACCTGTGAGTACCCTTAATTCTACAATTAAAGATTTTAATATAGAGCAATGACCAAAATATGTGAAAATTATTTTATTTTGTTTGTTAAAAAAAAGGTGTTGCAAAAATTTGATGATCTACAGTACATTACATCAATTTGAAAGTAATTCAAAATGAGAAGTAGTATTTCAGGGTCATGTCAATTGAGTTTTTTACCTGAGACTCCCTCCAAAAGTTTCATCTGCAGAACCCCAGCTATTCCGATGATTGGGATAAACGCTAGGATGACCAGAGTTAGCTGCCAGCCATACACAAACCCTATAATGATGCCCGTCCCTATGTTGGCAAGGTTCTGTAACATGGTTCCCAGCTGTGCTCCCGATGCCTGTACAATATAACATATAGGAATCTTGTATACAGTCTAACCCTCTTATCTCAAACTCAGTACATTTTACTTATTATTTTGAATGGGCTCTTCAATGTCAAATTGCGAGAATAATAATTCCTGAATGGATGATTGATCAAGACATTTTACATAGATTTTAGCATCATAAAAATAATGGCAAGTCATTTTATTTCATGTGTGGTGCTTCTTATGAAATTACAAGATAATATGTTCCAAGCATATTTTTAGGAATCTACAATATTACTTTGAGATATTCGAATGATCAAGATATTGAGAGTAAAATACTTAAAGAAATTAATAAAAATGCTTAGGACTTCCCAATCACCTTGACATACTGTAGATTGGCAAATAATCATGATGGTTTTAATTTCACTATGTTCGCGTTTTATAATTTCTCCGCAAAATTAAACCCATCATGAATCCTATTATTAGTTTCAGAAACGTTTAAATGATTATACGAAATTTTAAATAATTTCTTGCAGCGTGAAATAAAAACCATTGCGATAGATAGTTTTTGAAAAATCGTGAAATTTTAACACCGTGGAATTAAAACGATTTACAGTATCCATGGTATTCGAGATATCTTTGTTCCAAATACTGAAGTTCAACTTAATTTTTAAAGCTGACAGGTCTTGAAAAATTTAAATTACTATGTACTTCAGAGATTCAATTAGCTTTCTACTTTTTTCATGTACGGTATCTTGATTTGCCACATTTATATACAGTGTGATCCAATATTCTAATGTGTATTTTTGAACTAAGGTCTTAATATTGCCCCTAAAAATCTTAAAACTTCTCACTTATAATTAAAGTACATTTTTGCATTTGGCTCAGATAAAACAAAGTTAAAATCATTTTTGTAACAATCTATCAGTTTTCAGTAGAGGGGACTGTCCTCAATAACCTATATAGTGAAATGTCTGTCCCTGTTTTATTTTTGCCTTCTTTCTCTCTGGAGTGAATTCAGAAGAGGGAGCGTTCAAATGAGAGAGAGTTATCCCTCTTTCGGCACAACTATCCCTCGGTGTCAGCTAGCTATGTGCAAAACTGGGTGAATTTTATAATTAGCAAGAAAGACTGGGACAAAAGAAGTACTGGTCAGAACCCTTCCCCCCAAAATGTTAACTGTACCCACCCCTGGACTTCTGCAGCCTCTGTAGCTATTTTGGTAGTCAGAGCTCCCCCCGCCACAAATATCCACTGTACCCACCCCCTGGACCTGTTAAGATATCTACTGTACCAACCCCCTGGACTGGTCAGATATCTACTCTACCAATCCCCTGGACCTGGTCAGATATCTTTTCTACCCACCCCCTGGACCTGTTAAGACATCTACTGTACCCAACCCCTGGACCTGTTGAGACATCTACTGTACCCAACCCCTAGACCTGTTAAGACATCTACTGTACCCAACCCCTGGACCTGTTAAGACATCTACTGTACCCAACCCCTGGACCTGTTAAGACATCTACTGTACCCAACCCCTAGACCTGTTGAGACATCTACTGTACCCAACCCCTGGACCTGTTAAGACATCTACTGTACCCAACCACTAGACCTGTTAAGACATCTACTGTACCCAACCCCTAGACCTGTTAAGACATCTACTGTACCCAACCCCTGGACCTGTTAAGACATCTACTGTACCCAACCACTAGACCTGTTGAGACATCTACTGTACCCAACCCCTAGACCTGTTAAGACATCTACTGTACCCAACCCCTAGACCTGTTAAGACATCTACCCCCTACATATAGACCTGTTTACACTACCCAACCCCTGGATTTCTACAAGATATCTACTGTACCAACCCTTAAGGATGAAACGGTACTCTACCAATCCCCTGGACCTGGTCAGATATCTATTCTACCCACCCCCTGGACCTGTTAAGACATCTACTGTACCCAACCCCTAGACCTGTTGAGACATCTACTGTACCCAACCCCTGGACCTGTTAGATAACTGTAATGTGACCTGTTAAATTATTACTGTTGTAACCCCAACCTGTTCAGATATCTACTAACCCAACCCCTGACCTGTTAAGATATCTATAATTCAACCTGTTATTAAATGATCAACAACCCAAATTAGATCTGAATCTCTGTACCCAAAATAAAAATCTACTGTACCCAACCCCTGGACCTGTCTAATTATCTGCTAAACCCCTGGACCTGTTAAGACATCGCTTACCCAACCCCTAGACCTGTTAAGACATCTACTGTACCCAACCCTAAACGACCTGAAACATGAGAAACCCCTGGAGAGAGATGACATTACCAAATTCCCAACGGACATCTACTTTACCCAACCACTAACCTTGACAATTACTATACCCAGTTTCTATTAAACCTGTTAAACAAGATTAATGTACCCAATATTTTTAATACACATTGGTTTCCCCAATACGGCTGTAGAAAGGATGTATCTTACTTAACTGACTTTCTGTTATTAGCTACTGTACCCAACCCCAATGACCTGTTAAGAATTCCATTTTGGCGAGACTATAATCTTTTTCAAAAAATAATTTTAAATGTATAACAATGCTTTAAAGATTAAGAAATACCGTTATCAGTACCGATATTAAATGAAACGGTATTTTACCGGTACTTTTGAAGTAACTATTACCCAACCCCTGGACCTGTTAAGTACATCTACTGTACCCAACCACTAGACCTGTTAAGACATCTACTTCTACAACCACTAGACCTGCTAGACATCTACTGTACCCAACCCCTAGACCTGTTAAGACACTACTACCCAACCCCTAGACTTCTGCGTCCTCTGTGGCTAGACCTGTTGACATCTACTGCTACCCCCCTAGACCATATCTTTACACTACCCACCCCCTGGACTTCTTAGCCTCTGTGGCTAGCCTGGTCGTAAGAGCTCCCCCCGACCATATCTTTACACTACCCACCCCCTGGACTTCTGCGGCCTCTGTGGCTAGTCTGGTGGTCAGGGCTCCCCCGACCATATCTTTACACTACCCACCCCCTGGACTTCTGCGTCCTCTGTGGCTAGTCTGGTGGTCAGAGCTCCCATACATATCTATACACTACCCACCCCCTGGACTTTGCGGCCTGTGTGGCTAGTCTGGTGGTCAGAGCTCCCCCTACATATCTATACACTACCCACCCCCTGGACTTCTGCGGCCTCTGTGGCTAGTCTGGTGATCAGAGCTCCCTCTACATATTTTTACACTACCCACCCCCTGGACTTCTGCGGCCTCTGTGGCTAGCCTGGTGGTCAGAGCTCCAGTTGAATTTTTCGGATCATCAAAGTACTCTATGTCTTGTCTCAGTAAGGAACGGAAGCAGTTTTGTCTCAGTCTCATTGTCAGGTTCTCTCCGGAAACACTGAAGCTGAATCCCTGCAAAGAAAAACAATCTTTAAAACACAGCAACTTTATGGGAAATAACTTGGTTATAATCTTAAAGTTCACTCCAATGTAGCCATATTTCTACAGTCCCTGAAAAATTCTACTTTCCCACATACATTACTTACCTGAAGTAGAAAAGTAAGGAAGCTGGCAGCCCCCACCCCCACCAGTAGTAACGTCCACATCAACACCTTGTCTTCTTGTTCACTGTTATTAGAGATGGCAAAGGTCTGAAAACAAATTCAAAATTAAATGTTTCTTCTTAACTTTGTTTTCATTACTTCTTTGATATATATAATTAATGCAATACATCCTAAGCACCACTTATATTCAAAGACACAGATAATATTTTGGCTTCAGTCTATGGTTTGTAAATTATAATTTCTTACTCCCAAGAATATCTGAGAAGACGATAGCAAATGTCAATTATGATTTCTTACTCCAAGAATTTCCGAGAAGATGATGGCGAAGGCTGGCTGTACACCTCCGTTGACGATAGCTCCCAGACTCCCCATCAGTATAAACGGCCACTCGGGGGCGTTCATCTTCAGGACTCGACCAATACCAGCCTCTTCTTCCTTCTCCTCCTTTTTCTAAGAAGTAACAGTTAATTGTTATTCTCTAAATCTTAATTTTTTTTATTCATTGTAAAGATAGGTGTTAAGAAGTTTAATAATTGATGTTTCAGTACTTATTCATTACTTCTTATACATTTGTTTTTCAAGTTTAATAGCATACACATATAGTGTATTGTAAATACATATTTCAATGTTGTGTTTGACTAAGTATTTCAAATTTTACTGCTGAATTCATGAAATTTTTGAGATCATGAATGGAAAAAAATTAATGTATTTGAGGAATACCAGCGAATCATTAAAATTCAAGGGGGCCAATTTTCTTGGATTGCTTAAATTTTATAGGTTTGAAGGGACAGAATTTCATGCAATCACACAAATCTACAAAAAGGGAAGATGAGTCTTAAAACCTTAAATATCAATTAATAGAGAATCTGAATTTGTGGAAGCAGTGTATGAATTCCACGAATACCGAGCCATGTCACAAAATAAAATGATTCCACAGTAGACACACCTTATCCTTGTCCTCGCTTTCTTTAGTGTCTTTATCTACAGGTAAATGGTGCACTGTGTGTTGGCGCTGTAATTTGTGGTCCACTTTCTCTGCCTTCTTGTCCTTTTCACCCACAAACTCGGCAATCAATTCTTCCTCTGAAGAAAAAATAGTAAAAACCCCATTTAGTTATAGGATAGTACAGTTTCCCCCGTAGGAAACAAAGGATGTAGGATTATAAGCAAACTTTGAAGTTTTTTTTATTTACTTTCTTCTCTAGTGAATTTAAGTTTTGTCAAGATATAAATGCAACAGAAGGGCCTTGAGGAACCTTGTCAGCGGCATTAAAGGGGTAGCAGGCATATAAGTAAAGTAAGTAAGATGCAACAGAATGTTTTACTGATAAAGCCATGTATTGAAAAATAAGCCAAGTTGAAAAAAGCATGCATGCTCCGTCTTGTAATCCTGATACAAGTGGACAAGTTTATATGCAAAAAGCTCTCTCTTCAAATTAGAAAATTTTGGAATTTTCCTGCCCTTTAATTAAGCTATCTAATCTATAAAATAATAAGAATAAAAACCATGAAATGTGATTTACCAGCATTTCTCCACAACATTTATTATGAACTAATACATGTTTTTTACATTTCCACAACATGAATTTACCTAAAACTTACCTCCTTCAGTAATTATTAGAAATGCACAAGGTAAACATTTAATAATTAGCATGCAGGAAAGCACATGGCATTGATGAGAGCTGATTATAAATCTTGTTTTTGAAAATGTTGTTTTTAGTTTTACCATTATTTCTAATGACACAATATCTGTCCCTACCTTCTTTATCTGCTGTTATCCGTGAGTAAATGACAGAAAAGAAAAAGAAGTGCATATTTTTAAAATGATGGATACATATATAAAAGTGAATACTGCATGATTAGAGGTACTGATCTATGTTTTACCAGTACTCAGTATTTCTCAGTAAATAAGATGGATGTTATTAATGAATTACAGGTTATATTAAATTTTGAACTCTTCCAGATCGAGTCAAATACAGAGTATTGAACATTGGTGCATAAACAGTCCACAGAACATCATTCTTTAATTAAATGTAATTTAAGTTCAGAAATATGAATTATCTTGTCAAATCGAATTATGGAAATACATGCAAGTGTACCTTTGAAAAGGATATCTATATTTTATAGTACATGTTCAAACACAATTATAGTTAAAAGTTTGTAAGTGACAGGACAAGTGTCTACATGTATGAATTTATTTTCAACATTGATTGTATGCTTTAAAATCTAGGATTGTAAATGTATGCCATAGGTTGACAAATATATTTTATTGATATTTTTAAAGAAATTTATGAAATACATGATTTTATACAATCCACACCACTGAGAAAATTCTGTAAACTGTGATAACTAGCTTACCTTCTTCATCTACTTTTTGATTTTTAGTCTGAAAAACAAATTATAAAAATCTAGCTCCAAAACTCAACTTGCATATTTATAATGTGATAATGTAAAACATAAGAAAAATTCAGATGAAAAAAGTTGGAGAAAAAGTATTGTACATCAATTTTTCTTGTATTAATTTAATAGTCATGAATTATTACAATCAAATCTTTTATTTTAATTTTTGCGATGCTTTTTTCATTTCCAGAATTTACAGTAAGATAAGTGCACCTGACCTGCATGTTGACCAGTGTAGCGTACACGCCTCCTTTCTGCATCAGCTGATCGTGAGTTCCTTTCTCTACCAGCTCCCCCTGTTGGAATCCTGCAATCTTGTCAGCAGTTTTGATTGTAGACAAACGATGAGCAACAACAATGGTGGTCCTACCAGCTCGTGCCTGCAAAACAAAATAAATCATTGTAGAATTTAAGAAAACTGAAAGCTGTAAGCTTAAGATTCAAAATACAGTATTCATTTTTTTTTTGGCCATATGGAGATTGAGGCCAAATATTTATTAATTTCCTTTTCAACACCTGCAGCAAACACAATTTTTTTAAAATAATTTTTATATTGCACAAGTCCTTTCGTATGGAGATTATTTTTAATGAAAATAAAGAGAAAAGTTTTAAATAAATGCAAACTACATGTTTAACTTCCCAAGTGAAAAATATTTCAAACAAATCACTTACAAATTGCCTACAAATTGCTCTAAAATCACCTAAAAGTGATTTGTTTCAGTGATTTGTAAGCAATTCATTTAACAAATCATGCACAAATCATTTTCTACCAAAGTGATGACTATGATTTGCTTACAATTTGTTATGAAAGGGTGATTTGCTTGTGATTTCTTTCCCATTTCAGACAATTTCAGAGTGATTTGTTAAACTTAGGAAATTGCTGCAGTGATTTCTTCATGATTTGTTGAACTTAGTCGTTCTTCAAGGTGATTTGAAAATGATTTCTTGAACTTAGTCTTTCTTCGAAGTGATTTGAAGATGATTTGTTAACTTAGTCTTTCTTCTGGATAATTTGTAAATGATTTGTTGAACTCATGGTCCTTCTTCAGAGTGATTTGAGAATGATTTACTTCATAACTTCCGCCTGGCTTGCTGATTGGTCAGTATTAGAAACTCTACCGCCAATTTTCATTCATCACATTTGAATTGAAATGAAAGGAGCTAGATTGTGCTGTTCTAGATTCACACCTCTCTTCTTTTGTTGAAACTGATGTTTTTTCCATAACTATGCAGAATACATTTTTAAGGTATGTATAACTGTATTATGCTATCATTTCCTCCTTAGATTCAGTTAATATTCCATGTTTACATGCAATTTATTGTTCTTCTACCAACAACAAAGTCGGTGGCTGTAATTCATGTCTAAAACAAAATCTATATAAAGCTATAAGCTTCAGCAAAGTACTGGCTTTTTAAAAAGGGCCAGACAAATATTTCTTTCAGATAAGAAAACATTTACCAACTTCTAAAAGGTCAACAAGTAATGCTTATTTCGTATTCTGAATTTAGTCTCAGCCAAGTACATGTGTGTATATCTAAAATACATGATGCCATCTTAATGAGGATACATCCTAGTAAAAGTTTATATTTAAAAATACTCTTGCCATAAGTTTTTTGTTAATATACAACAAATATGCATGTGTTTCAAATATTTGAGAGATCGATGGTTACATGAGCATCATGCACACATGTGTGTATCCACCTGGAGTGATTTGAAAGTGATTTGTTAAACTGAAGTGATTTGTTAGCAATTTATTTGAAATGATTTGTTTGCAATTTATTCGGAGTGATTTGGTTGCGATTTGTTCAACAGAAGTGATTTCTACACAATTTATTCAAAGTGATTTCGTTGTGATTTCAGGGTGATTTGTTTACAATTTATTAAGAGTGATTTGTTAGCTCATTTGCATGGGAATTTGCATCACTTACAAATCATCTTCAAATCACTGATTTATAAGTGATTTCTTAAAGTGATTTGTTTGAGGATTTTTTTCACTTGGGTTAATAGCATTATGATTTGAGAAAATTTTGCATGGGGATCATTTCTAAAATTCTCTAATCTCATCATTTGCTTCCAAAAAATTTTCCCCCTTTACTTTGTCAAGGGCTTCCTGTACGACAGATTCACTTTCCGAGTCCAGGGCTGACGTGGCCTCATCCAGCAGTAGGATTCTGGGGTCCCTGACCAGGGCCCGGGCAATAGCGATCCTTTGTTTCTGTCCTCCACTCATCTGGGCACCACGCTCTCCTACCAGAGTCTCGTATTTCTAAGCAAAATGAAAAATCACACTTAATTTAAATCACTATAATTAACTTGTCTTTCAGGTTGGTAAATTCAAAAAAAAACTTGTGTATAAGAAGCTCAAAGATATGAAAGACATAAAAGGAAAATATTTTAAAAATTGGATGCTCTCCCTTACATCGGGAAACTTCATGATGAATTCGTGAGCGTTTGCCATTCTACAGGCAGCCTGAATCTCCTCGTCAGTCACGCCTTCCTTCCCGTAACGAATGTTCTCCGCAATTGTCGTGGCAAACAATACAGGTTCCTGGCTCACAATGCCAATGTGTTTTCTAAGCCATCCCACATTCAAAGTCTTCAAATTATTATTGTCTAAACAGACCTATATATGGAAAATTAAGGAAATCCCAAATCAAATACAGATGTATGGAATGCTAACAGCTATACATGGCTGCAGCTGATTGTTCATCTATAAAAATATTTAAATTTTTTCTGTATACTGTAAACCAACTATTATTCACATCATCTTTTATTCGCAAATTGTCAGTTTGAAATCAATCCTAGATCATTAATTTTCATGACTGGTGGAACATTCTATGCAAATACAAAGCAAAATCATTGATTCATGCAAATTATTATATTCGCGAGATACAGTACATGTAGGTAGCTAAATTCGCGAATATTTCTCGCCCACGAATAAAAGTTGGTTTACAGTATTAAGTTATTTAAGTAGTTTTTTCATGTGTAATGTTGAACCTTTATTAAATAATGGATTACCTCCCCTTCCTCAGGGTCGTAGAACCTCTGTAGTAGCTGTATGATGGTACTCTTGCCACACCCACTTGATCCCACCAGGGCCACAGTTTCCCCTCGGTTGATTTCTAGTGACACACCTTTCAAAACCTGAGAATAAATAATAATATTTCTTTTTATACATGTACCATTTATTTTCATTTTTTGAAACATCAAAGTACAACATTGATTTTAAACATCAATCTGACCTGCACTTCGGGTCGAGCCGGGTATCGGAATTTGACATTCCGTAGCTCCACATTCCCCGTGACCCCGTCTGGCTGTAAGCCCTCACCACTGGCAGAATCAATCTCTGGAACCTATAAAAGGAGCAAATTAATATTAACAATTATAAATACAATGAAACTTGTCTAGTCGGGATATTGTTTAAGCTGAAATTCTTGTTTAATACGATGGAAACCACAAGCCCCTTTCAGTAAATTCAATTGTTTAAAATGTTGTCCAATCTAGAATGTTTTTAATCCAACCAATTTCTTTGAAACAAGTGGTGTTCATCTTACTGTTAATACTATAATCACTTAATACTACTGAAATAATAATTCGTCACAGCAAGAAAAGCATGAATGTACGGAAGCCCATTTAGGACCTATCAAAAAATCTTTTTGAATTCGATATAACGAATTGTCGAACTTGTTAAAACGAATTTAATTGGTTATAACAATTTCCTAGAAATCATTATAACTAATTAAATCTGTTATAACAGATATCTTAAATTCGTTATAACGAATTCAAAAAAATGTTATAACGAATTAATTTCGTTCAAACAAATTCTAAAATTTGTTATAACATATTAAAAAATCGTTATTACAGTTTTGAATTTGTTATAACAAATTAAATTTGTTAGAACAAATTTGTTGAATTGGTTATAACAAATTCACAAATACTTTTCTATAGGCCCCAAAAATCAAATTTGATAAAACAATTTTAATTCGTTAAGACAAATTTCAAAATTTGTTTTAACGAATTTAATTCGTTAATACAAATCTTAGAATTTGTTTTAACAAATTTAATCTGTTATAACAAATTTTTGAATTCGATATAACGAATTCAACAAATTTGTTATAATTAATTAAATTCGTTATAACGAATTCAAAAAATTGTTATAACGAATTAAATTCATTCTAACAATTTAGACAATTCGTTATATCGAATTCAAATATATTTTTTGATAGATCCTAAAAAGGCTTCCGTATGAATGAGAGACAAACAGCTCTTAGCATATTTATTTACTCCAGGAGTTTCTGGTACCCTAACCATGGAGTTATCCAGGCTGATATCTGTACATCTACACCACAACCATGGAGTTATCCAGGCTGATATCTGTACATCTACACCACAACCACGGAGTTATCCAGACTGATATCTATACATCTACACCACAACCATGGAGTTATCCAGGCTGATATCTGTACATCTACACCACAACCATGGAGTTATCCAGGCTGATATCTATATATCTACACCACAACCATGGAGATATCCAGGCTGATATCTATAAATCTACACCATTACCATGGAGTTATCCAGGCTGATATCAATACCTCTATTCAGACTAACTACCATTAAAGCTCACCTGTTCAATGAGCTGATACACAGTGTACGCTGCTCCACGAGCCTCAGAGAATTTCCCCAGCGGCGGCGTGGCATACCCCAGAGCAAAGGCGGATATCATTATACTGAAGAACACCTATAAATTGAAAATCCAACTTTCATCAAACAGTCAGGGCAATCAGAATGAGTAAGGAAAATGTGATATTTGTGTGGAAGCAAAAAATAAATTGTAATTAGAACATTCCCAAACAGAATCTAAATTCTATCCATTATCATTTATAGTTAAGAAACTCCTAAATGTGTAAACAGAGATGTATACTCTATACAAGATTATTTTTGTCCCATATGTTGTTTAGCCCTTTGAATTGGCCTGAGTAAAATTCTTTAGAATTAAATTCACCCAAACACACTGGTGCAAAAGGGAAACAGGTTTTTTTCTTTAAATTTGACAATTTTTTTTTTAATTTCTCTCTTGTAAAGAGGGCCAATGGGGGCAAGAATAAATGGGGAGAGGCAAAAAAGTTCTCCTGTATGCAAACACATGGAACAGCTGATGTACATTTGAACATTTGTAAACTTACAATGAGGACATTCCCTGGGGTATAGTCACTGTCCTCCCTCACTAGTTTAGCTCCGTACCAGAAGCCGAAACCGTATACGGAGAAAATGATGAAGTAGATAAGTCCCATAGAGAAGCCCACCGTCAGCCCCTTCCTGATTCCCGTCTTCTTGGCATCACTCAGGTGCACGTTGTATCTTAAAACAAAAGTCAGAGTTTCTTATTAATGAGGTCTCATGCATATTAATTTGTATAACAGACAAGACTGTCAATGCTAATTTAAACATAAATATTTTGAATTTCAACACAATTTAGAATAAATAAGAACTCCAAAGGCACAAGTAAAAGACTTTTGTTTTTCTACACTTATTTCAACTTATTTCATGAAATTGACATACAAGTTCAGGAACATCTCAAAGTATCTCTCAGGGGCAAAAATATGGGCATAAATGGGACATTGATGTGGGAGGGGCTAAGGGAGCACCTGCCAGAGACCGCCTCACCTGTCACATTCTTTGTCCTGTCCCCCAAAGGCCACCACTGTCCTGAAGGCCCCCAGAACCTCGTCCGCCACGGCTCCTGCTTTAGCGTAGGAATCCAGACCCTTAGAAGAGGCTGCTGTGATCAGCTGATAAAAATCAATCAGAATTAGTTAAACGTTGTGGACTCATAATCTGTTCACGGTGTCACTATATTTTATTAAGTTCTAATGAATGGGTTTTTTTTCCCTTTCATTGGTCAGAAATGTCATCAGTGCAGGTAGCATTGAAGTGAGTTTGAGCTGCTATCACAATTAATACACTATTTTACCTTGTCCTGGATGAGAGCTGCTATCGCTATATTTTACCTTGTCCTGGATGAGAGCTGCTATCACAATGAGGGGACTGAACGCCAGAATCACCAGGGTAAGCTTCCAGCCGTACACGAAGCCGATAATCACCCCCGTAAGGAAGGAGGAAAACCACTGGAAAAAGATCCCCATCTTGTCCCCGATACCCGTCTGGATTTTATTGACGTCACTAAAAAGACAAAAAATATTTAAGTTTTATACTACAATCCAGTCAGTTTTTATATTTTTAAATATATGCATACAGGTATAAAATTACTACAGTAAAACACGGTTATAACAAAGTCACTGGGATCTAGAAAATTATTCTGCTATATCCGTAATTCATCATATCCGTCTAAGAAATCTGTTAAATTTATATAGCTGGGAATCCAAGATAACTTCGCTACTGTATAGGGGATTAATTTCACGGGTTGTAATTTCTCTCATCTCACAAGATCGCGGTTTCTTGAATTCGCGGAATTGGTACATAATAAAAGTTACCTCCCTTGTCTATATCCGTTTATCCATACCATAGCTACATGTAAACGATATTAATAATCAGTGTTATGACTTTATTTCACGAACAACGGGGTAAGTTTAAATAAAATAATTAGATTTGATATATTAAAAAAAATTGACGATTAATTAAAACAAGTGCAGTTATCAAAAGTCCTTGACTCTAAACATCAAATGTCTTTCCTATATGCTATTACAATGAGTGCATGTACACCCTAAGATCTTCGATACAACTCAACGAAAAAGCACTGGATAATGTTGGAAAAGGTCGACGAAATATCCTTCCACATCTTCAGTAAGTTCTATACCGGTAGTTATTTGAATGATTTTTTAAAACCAAAATGTAGAGATGCATTAATAAATACATGGTAACATTAGTTACGCATGGATAATCAGAACCCATGACACACGTGTTTTGATTGATGAAACATGTAGCGTTAGCTATTAAAACAGCTTATTTAACAAATACGGGTTATTATCTGCTGATTTGAATTTAAGTAAAGCGTGATAATTAAATCAATTGAATGAGGAGTACTACTCGTAATTACCAGCCGAAATGACCATGTACTGCACGTATATGTATGTAGCCCTATCGTTGTCTATTCTCAAATTTCCAAATAAAACCTGGAGATTATTGAAAATTTATTCACTGTTTCTTGAATTCACGGAATTATTAACACCGTGAATATAGCGAATATTAACACCGCGAGTTATTTTCCCCCTATACAGTATATCTGTGAATTCACAATATCCGTGTTCATATTAAACGAGTTTTACTACATATCTAACAGCAGCCATATAAAATAATCATTATACAGTCACATTAAAATCTTTAGTTATGAATTGATTGCCTTACCCGGACAGTCTGGTATTCAGTTCCCCGGAGTCGTGTGTATCAAACCAGCTGATCTCCTGTCTCATGATGTTCCTAAAGAAAGCGATCCTAATTCTGTGTGTCTGTCTCTCAGCTGCGGTCACCCAGCAGGCCAACTGACCATACCCAAAAATAAGGACACCTCCCCCAATACCTAAAAAATAATAAACATAAATAAAGCAATCCCTATACTATATGTCTGACTTTCAGCCACAGTCACACAGCAGGCCAACTGAAATACCCAAAAATAAGGACACCTCCCACAATACCTTACAAGCCATAAACATAACAAGAGATGTTTGTAAAACACTTATGCCCCCCTCCCCCCAAATTGGAATTTTATTTTAAGTCCAAGGGAGCATAACTCTTTCAAAAATGGCACGATTGTACCAAAAACAGAACTTGACCTAGATATTCATCTGATTAATCTGTATATTAAATTTCATCTCAGTATGTGCAACGGTTGCAAAGAAAATGAACGGAAACTGCAAATAATTGAAATTTTTCCAAGTCCAAGGGGCATAACTCTGTCAGAAATGGTGCGATCATACCCAAAACAGAACTTAACATAGATATTCATGTGATATATCTGTATACCAAATTTGATTTCAGTATGTGCAACGGTTGCAAAGAAAATGAGCGGAAACTGCAAATAATTGAAATTTTTCCAAGTCCAAGGGGCATAACTCTGTCAAAAATGGTGCAATCATACCCAAAACAGAACTTGGCCTAGATATTCATGTGATATATCTGTATACCAAATTTGATTTCAGTATGTGCAACGGTTGCAAGAAAATGAGCGGAAACTGCAAATAATTGAAATTTTTCCAAGTCCAAGGGGCATAACTCTGTCAAAAATGGTGCAATCGTACCCAAAACAGAACTTGGCCTAGATATCCATGTGACATATCTGTATACCAAATTTGATTTCAGTATGTGCAACGGTTGCAAAGAAAATGAGCGGAAACTGCAAATAATTGAAATTTTTCTAAGTCCAAGGGGCATTACTCTGTCAAAAATGGTGCGATCGTACCCAAAACAAAACTTGGCCTAGATATTCATGTGATATATCTGTATACCAAATTTCATTTCAGTATGTGCAACGGTTATGAAGAAAATGAACGGAAACTGAATGGACCGACAGACCGACAGACAGCAGCAAAGCAATATGCCCTCCCTTCTTCGAAGGGGGGCATAAATATAGCAATCTTTATACTGTGTATCTGACTCTCAAGCGGGTCACCCAGCAGGCCAACTGACCATACCCAAAAATAAGGACACCTCCCCCAATACCTAACAAATAATAACCAGCAGGCCAACTGACCATACCCAAAAATAAGGACACCTCCCCCAGTACCTACAATAACACATTTAATAACGAATATTATAACACATATAGTAATGCTATTTATTATGTACCTATGTAATAATCAATTAATTGCATTCCCATGTAATAATCTAGCTAGTTATTAGGTACCTATGTAATAATCTATAGTCATTACGTACCTATGTAATAATCTTGTTATGACATACCTATGTAGTAATAAACAAAGAGGGTCATGGTGTCCAGCAGATCCTCTGAGATGGCTTTGTCAAGGGAACTGAAATCTGTCACATTATAGGGAGCGGCTGCCAGGGCTGTCTTGTGTGAGCTACAATATCAAAATCAAAGTACTGAAAATACTGGGAATCACTAAGCGATGTTCACTTTGAAATTCATCAGAATTTAAATTCCCTATTTCATTGGAATAAGTACATGTAATATTTTGAGGATGCAATTGGGGCTAGTGCAGTTGTTTGCTACATATTAATTTTTTTTTTTAAAAAGGTCAGATTTTATTTCAGGGAGACAAAAGGAACATTTTTAATATTTTGATAAATTAATACAAGCACACAACATAGGGTGTGAATGCAAAAAGAAAATAAAAAAAAAAAGAAATATTTCTTTCTTATTGTTAGGTATCATGAAAGAAGAATAATGCAATGGACCAGACCATTATGATAAGGTATAATGATGAGGATAACAGTATTAAAGATGACAGAAAATGAAACTGATTTTTCTTTTGACAATGATTATTTCATGCTTTGACAAGAGGATGAAAAATAACAATCATGTTTATGCTTATGAAGATGCAGATGATGCTGATGATTACCTGAGAATGGAAGGATTGGCCACAGCTTGACTGATAGTGATTCCAACACTTGTTAGATAGGCTGATATACTGAGCAGCCAGTTATAATAAATCCCTGAGTTAACAAAGGTGTCTGTCATATCTCCAAACACGATGATCATACTGGGCAGGGCAGCGCCATGAATCACGGCACAGATTGATCCAAAGATCATCAAGAAATAATCAAAGCATGTTCCGTACTTAAACTGTAAATAATCAAAGCATGTTCCGTACTTAAACTGTAAATAATCAAAGCATGTTCTGTAGTTTAACTGTAAATAATCACAGTATGTTCCATACTTAAACTGTAAATAATCACAGCATGTTCCATACTTAAACTGTAAATAATCAAAGCATGTTCCGTACTTAAACTGTAAATAATCAAAGCATGTTCTGTACTTAAACTGTAAATAATCAAAGCATGTTCCATACTTAAACTGTAAATATAATCAAACCATGTTCCGTACTTAAACTGTAAATATAATCAAAACATGTTCCGTACTTAAACTGTCAATATAATCAAAGCATATTCCGTACTTTAACTGTAAATAATCAAAGCATGTTCCATACTTAAACTGTAAATAATCAAAGTATGTTCCGTACTTAAACTGTAAATAATCAAAGTATGTTCCGTACTTAAACTGTAGCATGTTCCAATTACTTAAACTGTAACATAACTTAGGAAATAATCAAAGCATGTTCCATACTTAAATTGTAACAGACATCATGAAATAACCAAAGCATGTCACCAAAAGTTACAGCTGAACTACTTAAGGAAAGTTCCCTCTCAGTTCAATCATCTATCATCACACTTGATTGTATGTGAGATCTATATATGATCTTTTTTATGTACCAAAAAGCAGCTACATTTTCAAGTGGTTGGGTTAAATAACTATGATTTACATATATATCAGAATAAAATTAACTCAGAAATTCACTTGTGTTCCATTTTCTGATCACCACGACTTACTATTTCTAGAGGCCCAACCATCTTCTGTTCTTCTTCTTTCTTTTCTTCTTTCTCCCCATCCTTTTTCTTGCCTTCTTCTTCAACTTTTCCATTTGCCAATTCCTTGGTACCTTTTGAATCTATTTGCCAAAAAAAGAAAAATAATTATATACATGCATCTATATCATAAAATTCTTAGAATGTCAAGGATGTGCATGCTCCCCTTTAAAGTAATTTCAACAATAGCCCTGCGTGGTCTAATTTTAATTCAAAATACCTGTGCAAACTTAAATTTTTGATACTGAAACAAATATTAGCATGTGATATTGTCTTCATTAAGTCTTAATTAGTTATTCAAGCCATTATAAGTGTTTTTAGAATAATATCTAAAGCATTATATTTCTTGAATTTATGAATTTTTTTGTAAAGTCATTAACCATGCAGGAATTAAGAGCATTATTACTATTTCTAACATGAAAATACTTCTTTGATTTCTTAATTAAAATAGATGTCCATCCCTAATGCATGAACTCTGGCCATGCATGTTAAACACAGAAAATTGACATTGATTACTATGCATCTAAATACTGCAATCATGATGTTAATCCCTTAAGAGATAGAAGTCTATAAGACAATTTACATAGTCAGAGACTTGTACTAGAGAAATAAAACAAATGTCTAGATAGATCTTACTTCCAGCCATGACAGAGTTATAAAATCCTACACCAGCAGAAAGTAACAATCCAAAAACAAAGAGGAATTAAATAAACTGTGAACAAGATCTAGAACAGGTTAGAGTTCTGTATGGAAATCCACAGAATGAGTGTAACAGAGCATTCAAAGATAGTCAAGAGGATGCATGAAAAGTTCAAGATCTAGTACACACTGGTCTATAAATATCATATGTCCGTAATAGAATGTAAATCAATACCCGAGGTAGAAATGAACTACTGTAACTGAAAGCATGGATCCTAATTTATTGATGTCAGGAATATAATGTTCAAATAATGTAAAATTCATCAGAATGCAATAGATTGCTGGCCTGCAAAAGTTTAATAATATTGGCAACATGGAAGTTAACTGCAGATCTGATTGCGCAATTCTTTCTACTTAGCCGATATAGTTAGAGAATATTTTTTATGGGTAGTATAAATCTTAGGTGAGGGTTTGCAAGATTATTATCCCCTACAGAAGCATAAGGTGAGCTACCTGTAATAGAGATTAGTCACAAGTTAACAATAAATACCTTATAATGAGATCATGTCTTTAGTATTCAAGTAGATATGGATCATCATCTTTCTTTGCTAGAGAAATTCTTCGTACATGTACGTTCCTCGTGTCGCCATTTCATTGAGTTACATTTTTTTTTTATTCATAAGATAATAGATCTCTAAGAGAAGTAATGAACAGGCAGAAATAATAAAGGGTAAGGATCAGGTGCCAAGGAGGAGTAAGCATCCCCTGCTGACTAGTCATATCTGTTGTGACCCTTCAATCTGTATTAATCTGATAAAGGTGAATGGAATATTTTAGTATTTTAAAGTTAATATGAAAATAATGATGTGGTTATTGCAAAATAATTATGATTTTTTTTTTACATTGAAATCATATGGTTCAAGCAAACTTCACTGGATGTAACAAATTACAAAACATTGATGATAAGACATCTGTTGACTTAAATAAACTGTTGGTTTGTGTTGATGACAAATTATGCAAAAGTCTATTGAATTTACAACTTTCATGAACAACTTGAGTCATATTCCTGTCAAGTACCATGCAACAGACAGAGCCATTGTCCCTGGAGATGTCCAGAAATTACCTCCACCACTTCAAAGTGAGGAATTTCTCAGAGAAATCTAAGTCCCATGAAAGTTAAAAATCTGATATATTTGTGTCTCTTGTAGAAAATAAAAAACTGGCAAAATATCTAATACACCAGATTTCCTGTAGGTCTGAAGAGAAAAGTGTCGTTAAATTCTACCAGAACGGTTATATTCTACAGAACTGTATCCATCGCACCATACTACAGAGATGTTCATACTACAGTACTGACCCACCTGTTTTACCAATGGGAGGGAGGGGGGAGGTATTTTTGGTCTTTGGTTTGCCTGAATCTGTATAAAATGTTGCAGGTATATTATAGATTCGATGTCAAAAAATGTTGCAGGTATATTATAGATTCAACATCATCAAGTTTTAATAACAAATTAGCTTAATTCTGAAAGATTTTTTCTAAAAATTGTATTAAATAAAATAATTATTTTATTAATTCGTTTACATGATAACTATATACCAGTATAAAATTTACATTTGTTTTTAGCTGATTTCATTGACACATAGCATTTTCTACTAAAAGTCATAATGACAAAGAAATTAATTTTAAATTAATCTTAATTGTGATAAAAGAACTACAGCTATAACATTTATAATAATACAACATTCTACATTCCACATTCTAAAATTCTATGTACATTCTTACTTTGTCTTTGAATACAAGAATGAAGATATGTGGTATACAATTAAATAAAATATAAAAAATAAATACTGATTACTGCTACATGAACAGATGTATATAAGTATTACAGTTTATTATTAGTTCAGAAGAAATATGAATGCACAGTAAAAAAAATCGATATGCAAGAATAAAGCCATCATACTTTGTGTACTAACCCGTGTACTAATAACAGTTTTAATATACTTATCTGAAAATACTGTATAATGTTTATGGGAAGTGCATTATACTATAGAAACTGTGGAATAACTAGTTAAAGTATTTTAAGTTACCCAGTATTTGTAAAATGTAATTACATAAATCTTTTTTTGTATGATTGATAATTTAATTAAATACTGGTTATCATGCAGTCTTCTTGCATGATCATCATCATAAAACAAAAAGAAACAGTCAATTGATACTTGTTTAAAATGCCATAAAATTTAATATTAAATACAATGTAAATCAAATTCTGTAATTCCATTAATTAATGCCCCTCCCCCCTTTCCTGACAATATTTTAAAACAATATGTATCAAAATTAATATTTTGTTAATTTGCTACAGAAAGAAATGAAAAACAGAAGTCATAATTTAGCAGATTCTGTTAATTATAAAGACAGTTAGATAAGGAGACAGGGACAGAATCCTTTACATAAGGTCACTGTAACTAAAGGCTTTATAGGGCTAAGCAATTACTACCCTTACCTATGGGTGGGAGGCTGGAATTTTTTATATCTGTATGTGGGGTGTCATTATCCATGGGTGGTAACTCTGAATTTCTCTTCAATGTTGTGTTTTCTGTTTTTATAGTAAAAAATCCATTTTTTTTAAAGAAAAAATTGTCCTAATCACATTTTAATGAAATAACATATGAGGAAAGTGGTACATAATTAACAGTATGTTAATACAGAAGAAAATTGAACCTTTCCAGCAGATTGAATTTTGTTTCAAAGTGTTTATCTCTAATACATGTAATCTAATTATAAATCATAGAAATTGATACATATCTATATGTAACACTTAAAGTGGGTTTATGATAGAAAATCCTTGTGGTGTTTTTCTTTGGGGGGGGGGGGGGTTTTAAATTAAAAAATTATATTTATTTTCAATCAGAAAAGCATATATATTTATATATTCAAGAATTCCAGACACTTTTGGAGCACTAAAATTAAATTAATATATAAATTTTGCAATTATCTGTACATGAATTTGTATTTCCCACAAAACATTAATGGGGAGAGGGTTGAAGAAAAAGCCCTTGTTGTAAGAATCCATTAATAGACAAAAAAAATCAAATTATCCCAGTTTTGGAAGCCCAGGAGCTAACTGAGCCTAACTCGTTTTTTTAATTTTTTTTTCAAAGATACCGGTACATATGTACAGGAGATGACATAATTATATTTTTTTTGGTGAAGATCGACATTTGAGAAGAAAAAAATAAACATGTAATTACTCACCATCAAGAGGTATAACTGTGTTGTTGAAATTTTTCTGAAACAAAAAAAAAATATATGTTAGACTTTAAAAATGTCATATATATATATCATGCCCCAGTATTCTGGAATTATAAAGACTGACTTGACTTAAATCATATTGAAAACTTTAATCTGAAGAATACAGTACTGGGTAATTTAATGGATGTAATCAGATTATTTCAAATGACCTCCTCTTATAAGTAGGTTATTATAATATTAATTTGTCCCTCAAGTCACTTTTTAACCCAAGTTGCTTTAATTACAGAGAAAACAGCTAGTGGCACGAAGCACTGCTTGCACTGCAAGCTCTTATGACGGCTTACAATGCGTGTACACTGTGGGCAAAGAGAAAAATTTGGACTGTACATATTGATCCAAACTTATTTTTTTCTCGACACATTGAGCAATGCAATTAAGACTCTCTCTGCCAACTTCTTTCTTGTGGTAACAAAAATGAAGTTTACAACATGAGACGTTTGTAAAACACTTATGCCCCCCTCCCCATAATAACTGGAATTTTTTTAAGTTCAAGGGGCATAACTCTGTCCCAATCACTCGATCGTACCAAAAACAGAACTTGACCTACTATTCTTATGATAAATCTGTAAACAAAATTTCATTTCAGTATGTGCAACCTCTGCGAAGAAAATGAAGGGAAACTGCAAATAATTTGAATTTTTCTAGGTCCAAGGGGCTCGATCGTATCTTAAAAATCCATGAAATCATGAGTGTCCAATTTTAACTTCATGGGATCTTCATGAACAATTCATGAGCTGATTCAAGAATATAATTCATGAACTTTTCTTAAAAGTTCAAGAATTATTCTTTATCATTTCGCAGATGGTAAAACAGAACTTGACTTGGATATTTTTATGATAAATCTGTATAGTGTATACCAAATTTCATTTCAGTATGTGCAACTGCTGCAAAGAAAATGAATGGAAACTGCAAAATAATTCGAATTTTTCTAAGTCCAAGGTGCATTAACTCTGTCAAAAATATGATAAATCTGTATACAAAATTTCATTTCAGTATGTGTAATAGCTTTGAAGAAAATGAACAGAAACTTAGTGGACCTACAGACAAACTGACCAACAAACATCAAAGCCCTCCCTTCTTCGAAGGGCGGCATAACAATAAAACATGAGTATGACACATTGATATGTCAATGGACATTGCAAACAATGGCAAGTTCATCAATTCATTGTTAAAATAAGTTTTTGCACTTTCTAAACTGAATCGTTTAGGAAAGGGTTTTTAAATGAAATGGACACAAAACCATACATCATTAACATAACGTTATGTATTTTGGTGGTCACTTGCAACCATTGGGCAAGTGAAACTGACAAGATTGCAAGAATTGTTTATCTGTTAGACCCCAGTCAGACAGCAAACCCCTGAAATGTGTATGATACAGGAATTACATTTTTTTTCTTTCGGCAAAATAAAGAAAATTCAGCCTGCATTGAAGGAACCCTCAATGATTTTATTTGCCGTTTTCGATATATTCTTAGAGATCTCATATGTAAGTATAACACACAATTGCACAAGTCTGAAACAGCAAGTCATTACTTGCCATTTCCATATCGTTTTTCATAATAGGCCTACACACAACTCAGCTTCCATCATCATTAGGGATGGGTATCGCCAAAAATTTCGTATCGCGATATATCACGATTTTTTCCCACAATATCACGATAATATCATGATATTTTTAAAAGAAGTTTTTACAATGATTTTATATGAAAACTCATTATTTTTCTAAAGAATATGCTAGAAAAACAAAATTTTACTTTCTTGAAATTTATATGTATATAAAATCAATTATGTTTGGACGGTAAGATGCCGTTCTTTTCACTTTTTACATTTTTTTTTACACTTTCTGTAATTGTTATTTGAAAGATTGAACAAATAAATGAATAATTTCTGGACTTTATAATATAAACCAAAAGACCGGTATTTAGGTCTCTGTATCACGATACGTATCACGTTCAGTCTCTATAACGAAGTATCTGGCACTTTTTACATAGTTTGTAACTTGATTCGGTAGACCTAATTTTTGTTTAATCCATGTTCTAGTATCTAATTGTGATTCATGGGTTAAAAATATTACGGAATAAAGTGCCTCTGACGTAGATCCTAAAAATACTTGTTTTTTGGGATTCATTACATGCGCGGATCTAGAGAAGGGGGGGGGGGGTCGACCCCGCCCCCTCCCCTGGAATTGCGGATGTAAATATACGTACTTAAGGTCAAGATCTAGTAAATAAAAGGTGCCTACAGATTTCTTATATTTGAGAAACAAATTCTTTTAGTGATGCTTTATAAATTTAGCTTGGTAATATAAGGTGTTTCGGGGCATAATTTGTAGATAAGACGAAAAATAATATTTTGAACTGTCATTTTCAATGAAAAGTTAAAAAAAAAAAAAAACAGTCATGAATACAGGAGTTTTTTCCATCTCAGACAAAAGAAATGTATCCAGATTGCCTACAGTCTCTCAGAAGAGGGTAATTTGTATGATCTTGGCCTCTTCTTTAAAATAATATTACATTGAATACAAGTATCGGGATTACTTTTCACATGATTTCAAATTGAATCCAATGAAAATACATGTACTTTATTTGTACATAATTCTATTAGATACGTAAAGTACTGGAAATAGAAAGATGAAATTGAAAATGACATCATAATGGATCTACATGTAGCACCAAAGAGATATGAAGTAACGGTCATCTACTAGATCATCCGAAATATCAGAAGATTTCCAGGCTTTTTTTATTTACGATCTTGATATTTTAGTTTTCCTTCCACGTTACACGTTAAATATCAAAATCGCAAGGAAAAAAAAGTCTGGAAAACGTCAGATATTTCGGACTAAAACTAAACTAACCTAAAGAGACCTTGGACCCTGCTTGGAGCTAGTGTATTTTTTTTTTTCAAGAAATTTCTAGTTGGATAATTTTGAAGGTATGGCCCCCCACCCGCGCCCTTTAGAAAAAATCCTTGACCAGCGCCCGCATTAAATGCAATGGGGAAAATCTTAAAATACAGCTGCACAGTACTAACATATATCCAGAAAGTGCAGCAAATATTGAAGAAAAGAATGGTGTGAGTGTAAATTTTTAAATAGTAAGTATATATATAAGGTACATATGTTTTACAGACACCTACCTGTAGATGCACAATGTACATGTATACCTGGTATGCACACTGCACATATATGTACCAGTGTACTCGACGACTACCGTTATAATTTACCCCCCCCCCCCCATTATCATGATTATACACACCCCATTACATGTGAAAATACAGGGAAATCCCTTATCATTTGTTTATAAATAGGCACTGATAGATGCAATTAATTAATATAATAAAAATTATAAAATCCCACAGGATATTGCTATTCTCTATCTATTGAGAATTTTAATACCCCCTTCAAAGAGTATTAAAACGAGTGATCAACTTCTCAATGCAGAATAGATTATTGTAAGTGGACGTACATGCGCACAATAAAAGTTATGTAACAGTGTAACAATCACATTTCTATTCATTTGGTCAGTACGTCATGTACGTGGGTAAATATGTCCCTGCATTTTTTGGGGGCACATTATCAATTAAAATACAAAAATTAAATAAATCAAAGGTATGCACAAACCTCTGACATGCTGATTTATGCAGTGAACGAGTCCTAAAATCCCCAGTGTTACAAAACGATTTTTGATCTCATTCGTACAGTTTGATCACACACTACCATCGGGCTCTGTTGAAATACCCCGTGTCCGGTGTATGGCTAAAGAATCAGTACACAATGTCGATATATTCGCCTTCGCAACACCTAAACTACCGTGTGTACTAGTTTTCAACCCCACTATACTAGAGAGTTTTACGTACTCAGGCGAGTCACCAGCTGTTTAATACGGGTGCCCCTTTAAAGTGTTAATTGAATGCAAATAAAACAATGTCGCCTTAAAATTTATTTAAAGCTGTCTATAATTCAGCGACAAGCAAACATGACCGATGTGTGTATTGAACGCCAGTGGCGGATCCAATGGGGTCCTCTCTTCTTTCTCAATTCCTGTAACAGGCAGTGGCGGATTCAGGATGTATAGCTATTCTCTCAATTCTGTGGTGTCGGATTTAACGTTTTTTTTATTTGTTTCCCCACGAGTCCTCAGACCTGCATGTATAACAATCAGGGATCTAGGATGCAATGTCCCCATATGCAGTCACCAAAATAATTTAAAGTACTATATTTACATTTTGGGGGAAAAGCCCATGAAAAGATCCGTGAATTATTCACAGCAATGACAGGGAAAATTCAAGAGTAATTATCAAAAGAATAGGTACCAGATTCAGAAGAAGGTACCAGACCAGCAATTTTATACTGAATATTAATAAAACTTAAAGCACAAGTTAGAAAATCAACACATATCACTCGATGGATTGTATTTGATATTTATGTGCGACTGACTGGAAATAATTCTCCCATATATGAACATTCATTTGCGTAAATTTATATCATTTATTTAAAGTAATCGAAAGTAATAAAAAAAAAAAAAAAAAAAAAAGATAAGTAAAAAAATCTCTTCGATTAAAGATTAAATACTGTCGATTTCTTCACAAAAGTAATCATTACAATCGATTAAGAATCATCAATTGCAATACGGGTGTGTAAGGTTTTTCAATGTTATTGCAATATATGAATGCAGCGATCATAACAGTTATATTGGTTGAAGTACGATTCAAGGGATTCCACAAAGTATTATAGTTGTGGCGGTCAGCCGAGCTCGATCGCCGGTGGCCAGATAGCTCAGTTGGTAGAGCACCTGACCGGAGTTTAGGGGGCCCGGGTTGAAAATTTAGTCCGCTGCATTTTCTCCTTTCCCGTTACATTTGGTGCCGTGACCAGGATTTGGAATTGACAAGTGAAAGACCTGCCAGGGATGAGCCTGGGTTAGGATCTTTGAGGGACCAAAGACCTTTAAGGAGGGAGGAATATGGCGGTCAGCTGGGTTTGATTACCAGTGGCCAAATAGCTCAGTTGGCAGAGCACCTGACCGTAGTTTCAGGGGGCCCGGAAGTACTGGTCCGCTGCATTTTCTCCTCTCCCGTTACATAGCAATACTCAGATACTGAGAAGGGCACCTCACTGTACGTTATTACAATAGACCGGATTCCTGAGTAGGGACTCTCAATGTAATAACAATACACTGAAAACCTCAATAAGATCCGTCAATGTAATTACAATACACTGAAAACCTCAGTAGGATCCGTCAATGTAATTACAATACTGAGTACACCGAAAACCTCAGTAGGATCCGTCAATGTATAATTACAATACACCTAAAACCTCAGTAGGATCCGTCAATGTAATTACAATACACCGACAACCTCAGTAGGATCCGTCAATGTAATTACAATACACCGACAACCTCAGTAGGATCCGTCAATGTAATTACAATACACCGGAAACCTCAGTAGGATCCGTCAATGTAATTACAATACACCGACAACCTCAGTAGGATCCGTCAATGTAATTACAATACACCGGAAACCTCAGTCGGATCCGTCAATGTAATTACAATACACCGGATTTCTGAGAAGGATCCCTCAATATAATTGCAATACATCGAATCTCCCAATATCGAATATGATTGATAATATACACAAAATTCCTGACCTCATCGAATTGTTAGTTACAGGATTTTTCAAAGCAATCGCAATTATTATATGAAGATTTGTTTAAAGTTCACTTGCTATGTTGTTTCACTCATATTGAAACACAACCACGTGCCGGTGGGGGGCTGCATATAGCTTGTTCTCGACAATATGGCCTATGAGCATGCAGTGAAGGTTCATTTTCGTGCCAGCACCTACTCCGGCTCTATCATAGCAAGCCACGGGTTGTGTATCCATTCTATAATTTGTGGAAATAGAATGGGCACAATTTTCGCTTTCTTGGCTTGCGACGTTACTGCGACGTCAAAGTCCATGCATGTTTTGCTCTAGGAGACCCGAAATAAGCGTCAGATCAAAAAGTAAAATAGGAGGTGCACAATGGCATTATGTAATAAAGAATCTTTGAAAAATATTATTAAATTTCATTCAGTGGTATAGGATGAGTTCAGATAAGAGAGGCACGCATGCGTACCCCCAAAGCGTGACAGATAGACGTACAGACAGACTGACGGACACCGCTATCTCTATATATAGTTAAATTCAGGTATATGTATTATGAGATATAGCATCCTGTATTTAGTATATAAGGATGCTATAACTCATTTGTTACTGTTGTGTGTAATTTGAAAGGTATACAAACCTCCATTACAAATTGAACATAGATCTATATCCTATCCAGTATCTCCTGTCAAATGATGAATTCTTATGTTTGGTATTATGAACATACAGAGGGTTTTTATACTAAAGACAAACTGCAATGATTAAGAATCCATTAGTCATAAGTTTATTGAACAATGTTCCTTTTGGTCTAATATCTAGTACATGCCTTTCGGACTCTTCAGATTTTATTGAAGCTCTCAAAGATATGTTATATATAGCAAAAGCAACGAGGGTACATACGTCTACGTAACATCGCCATTTTTAAATGGAATCGAAAATCCAGTATTCTGAACTTAAATACTGATATACATATACGAGTATATGTTTCTGGCACAGGACCAATACATATATATATATAAACGTCGGATTCGGAGGTTGGGGGTAAACCCCCCACTTTTTTTTTTAACAAAGACATAATTATAGGGATTGAAAATTTGGGTCTATTGAAAGGCCGTTCCCATGCACTGTTTGTTGCAGTATAGAAAAAAAATGATACTGAAAAGAAGATCGATCTCACCCCCATCCCCTACCCACGTGCACCCACCCCCTCGAAATAGGAATTTTTTGCTTGTCAAGTTTTATTTTCTCGTTTGACAAAACAAAATCCACCTAATAACACATATTTCAAAAGTTACACATTTTTCCAGCCAATGTCATTATACGTCTGCATGCATGTTGATTTTTTCGTCAATACGAATATTCCGACACCTGAAGGGTACAATGTTCTGGCCGAAGATTGGGGTGATATATTGTGAGCCCGGTGAAAGATCTCAACCCCCCTTTTCTGTTTGTTTGAATTCCATTGCTAATACATCAAATTCTTTTTGATATAATATATTTAGACATAAAATGTCCGGTAATAATTTTGATTTAATGGACCGGGCGAAATGATTGAAACCTGCAGAACACCATAATATACAGATAAAAGAACACTCTCAAATATTTTTTATGCAAAAATAATTAAATTTAAATATTTTTAAAAAATCCTTAAACGAGCGAAATTCAAATCACGACAAGGCTAAAAATCTTTTACATGCATCTCAACATAACTTTTCTGACTGATTTTTCTGACGGTGAATGTTGTACTTCGGGTGTAGCTATTAGGGTATAAATTTGTCCGTCTGATTCCTCTTATTGTTGAAACCAGATTCATGAAAACCCCAATTTATGAAACAAACACGAGTTAGATTTATTGTACTTTTATATTATAGAATTAGCCAAGAATTAACTTTTACATGAGTTTGGGATGCATCAGCATCGAAGGTCTAATTCCAATTGACTATAATTAAAAACAAAACTTACGTACGTGCTGAACAAGATATAACAAAGTATATATTTGAAATTAAATATAAATTTTCATTTTGTAATTCACATTTAGTAAAGGATTATAAATATGTTAATAATAAATATCAATGACCCCGTTTTTGTTTTAAATTCATGCTTGTCCACGAACTTTACAGACAACCCTCGTACAGGCTGAACAAGATATAACAAAATCATTTTTTTTTTTTTTTGATTAATTAAAAAAAAAGTATTAAAGAAATAAATTAGCAAACATGTTTTAAGTGACTGATGAAACTTCAGTGGCATGCATGTACATAAAAAATGACTTATAGAAGTGGGGTTAGGGTCCATGAACAGAGAACAGAAACATCTAATTATACTGGATCAAAAAAGATGAAGGGGACTGGGCAACTAGCTTTCAATGAAAATGCATTTCATTATGATGATAGTAAATTAAAAGTATAGAAAAAATGGCCTTAACTTTTGAATGAGAAGAGATAGGGATTTCATATTAAATACATGTATGTGTATTATCTGTGATAAGACCCTTCTAAATACACTATGATTTTTGACCTCGTGACTTGACCTTGAGGTTTGACCTTCTTTTAAAAAATTTTAGCCTTGCTCATGACTTTTGAATGAGAAGACATAGGGTTTTCATGTAATGTACGTATTACTTGTGACAATACCTTTCTAAATACACTATGATTTTTGATCTTGTGATCTTGTCCTTTAAGTTTGACCATATTTTAAAAAATGTCATTTTTCCTTATAACTTTTGATTAAGAAGAGATGAGGTTTTCATGATTGATATGTGCAATTCATGTGACAAGATATTTCCGAGCATACTATGATTTTGACCTTAACCTTGACCTTCACGATTGACCTAATTAAAAAAAATCAAATTCGGCAGAGACCTATAGGTCCCTGACTTCGGTGATAACTCAGTTATGAATGACATATGAAAGGGCGTTCAAATTTGACACAATAACCTTTAAAAAAAGACATCTCACACTCAAAGACACCGAAAGCGGGACCACAATTCTTTGAATTTGCTCTTTGTAATTGCATGGGCCTCGGAAGCCAATATTGAAAGTTGGGGGGGGGGGGGCAAATTGAAAGTGGGGGCCGGGGGGGGGGGGGCTAAACCAACAAAAATAGGTCAATCCCTATTTTCAATGCATAGAAATTATCTAACGTTATATTTGCAAAAAAAGTGGGGAGGGGGGCTAAGCCCCTGGCCTTAGCCCCCCCCCCCCCCTCGGTTCCGACGCCTATGAATTGAAACCTTAGTTGTGTTTGTATATATAATTATTTCTATATTATAGAAATCTTAAGACTTTTGTGCCCTCTTCGTGTCTGAAATTCTGAACCACGGGTGTATTTTCATGATATACTTGTAGGCCTACATGTATTTATATATATCTATAGACTCTAGGTCATCGCCCGAAACGTTTTCCGGAATGGATGCGGAACACGCTCCACTCTTGTACGTGTTTTTCAATTTCCGGATATTGCACAAAACAATCTTTGGCGGCATGATCATGATAAAGACAGAGCTGTCAGCAGAATAAATCATTTTTATTGCGACCTTTGAATGAAAGGTGAGTGATATTGTACTCTGCTATGTAACAGACATAAAAATAACCATTATCTCTTGTTTTATTTATTTTATTGCCTAATCATTGCTCTTGACCTGTTTTAATGACCAGTCTGCATGATTGCATAAATGACCATGATGAGTTTTGTATCCTTACATCAAACAAAGAAGTCAAATGCTATGGCATTTACATCATGCGATTTCAATTTCGATTTTTAATCAATGATGTAAATTTCACGATCATCAAGAGCCGAGGTGAACGATTTCTGCTGAAATAATTAACGTATTTCTTCGGAAGATCATACCAGTGTAGATGTCTGCATGCCTGATAAGGTGTTGACAATATTGATCGCAGAAAATTTTTCTCCTTCCCCATTTTTGTATTCCATTATGCACTACATGTTATTAATAATATTGAAATGGTTTGGGCCTTTGATAAAATCGTAAAAAAAAAAAAAAAACCTCTGGAAAATGGCAGGTTATTTCTGACTACTTAGTTGATAGAACACTGGACCAGTGATACAGGTGTTCAGGGTTCGACTTTGAGTGAAGACACTTTAAGAAGGGTGCAATGTATTGGTTTGGACTGTGAATATTGGCCTGGGTTGCTCAGTGGGTAGAGCACCTAACTAATGATAGTCATGCAAGGGTCCAGGGTTTTATTCCAAGTCCAGAAATACATTTTTAGCTCTTCTGAGCCAAAGGCTCAAAGAGCTAATGCTATGGCCATTTGTACGGTGTGCGTCGTGCGGTGTGCGTTAACTTTTTAGATTATGGGCCATAACTTACGAACCCCTTGGCCAATTATTGTCAAATTTGTCACAGGGTATCCTTGGCCCAAGGGCTACCATTTATACTGAAATAAGGGTTGAGACCCTTAAACAAGGGGAGATAATCAGGAAAACAAAACCAAAAGTACTGGTTGCTAAAAAATCTTCTTCTCCAGAACCACTTGGCAGATTTTCACCAAACTTACATACAAGGATCAGGATATGTTGAAGATTAAAAATTGTTCAAGGCATGACCCTGGGGCAAAGGGCGTGGTCTCAAGGTCACTTCAAAGTTGACCTAAATTTACAAATAATAAAAATGTTTATATTTTGCTTACTATTAGGACTAGGATCATCAAATCTTGTAAGTTGATGCATCTCAGGACTTCACATCATGTTAACTCAAAAGTAGGTCACGGTGACCTACTTTTTAAATTTTGTGAGCATTTGTTTTCAAATTGATTTGAAGGCATATTTCGGGCACTTTAAGGCCTATGATCATCAAACTTTGTCAGTTGATGCATCTTGGGTCCTTGAACAACGTCAGCTTAAAAGTAGGTCACCGTGACCTACTTTTTGAACTTTATGACTAATTCTTCTTAAAACATTTAATCCAATTATTTCAGACACTGAGAGGTTTAGAATCATCAAATCTTGTTAATTGATGCATCTTGGGACTTTAAATCATATTTATGAAAAAGTAGGTCACTGTGACCTACTTTTTGAATTTTACAGGCATTTGTTTTCGAATTATTTAAAAGGCATATTTTGATTACCTTCAGACCTAGGATCATCAAACTTGGTCAGCAGATGCATCTTGTGACTCTGAAAAATGTCGACCAAAATATAGGTCACGATGACCTAGTTTCAACATTTTATGGCTATATTTTGGTATCTTAGGTATTTATTGGCTTAGAATCATCAAACTTTGTGAGTTGATGCATCTTGGGTTTTCGGAGAGTAACAAACAAAAAGTAGGTCACGGTGACCTACTTTTGACATTTTATGGCTTTATTTAAGTAATTATGGTACTTATTGGCTTAGAATCATCAAACTTTGTAAGTTGATGCATCTTGGGTTTTCGGAGAATGATGTCCAAAAAGTAGGTCACTGTGACCTACTTTCGACTTCTTATGGCTATATTTTAGTATCTTAGGTATTTATTGGCTTAGAATCATCAAACTTTGTGAGTTGATGCGTCTTGGGTTTTCGGAGAGTGATGACCAAAAAGTAGGTCATGGTGACCTACTTTTGACATTTTATGGCTTTATTTAAGTATCTACGGTACTTATTGGCTTAGAATCATCAAATTTTGTAAGTTGATGCATCTTGGGTTTTCGGAGAATGATGTCAAAAAAGTAGGTCACTGTGACCTACTTTCGACATTTTATGGCTTTATTCAAGTATCTCTGGTAATAACTGGTTTAGAATCACTAAACTTTGTTTGTTGATACATCTTTGGTTTTTAGAGAATGTCGATCAGAAAGTAGGTCATGGTGACCTACTTTTGAATATCTCAGGTACTGTTTGGCTTAGAATCATCAAACTTTGTCAGTTGATGTATCTTGGGTTTTCAAAGAATGTAGACAAAAAGGTAGGTCATGGTGACCTACTTTTAAATATCTCAAATACTTATTGGCTTAGAATCTTCAATCTTTGTTTATTAATGCATCTTGAGTCCTCAGAAAATTTCAATCTTAATATAGGTCACTGTGATGTACTTATGGTTTTTTATAGCTTTATTATTAAAAATATTTTCAGTCATTATTGGCTAAAAATCATCAAACTTTGTCATTTGATGCAACTTGGGTCTTAGGATACTTAAGGTTAGAGGCTTCAAATAGAAGTGATAGATTGTACAATTCATCAGAAGAGCGATTCAAGGCCCTTGGGCCTCTTGTCTCATTTAATGTTATAAAAATATAACCCTTTTGTCTCTTTAAGCTGTTTTTAAATATATATATTTTTGTCTGATACATAAAGAGAGCAGGCTTGAAACTTTTCTTGTCATCTGCCTCACCTTGCTTAAACTTAAATTACTGGTAGTTTGCATGATTATTTATCAAAAGCATAACAAAATACGGAATGTAAATATGACTACATCAAATTCTTCCTTTTCATTTCTTTTTACATTTGATTTAATACAGCATATTTTTATGTGCGATCAATTTGTTAATATTTTAAGTTACTCACATCTAAGGGAAATTCTGTTGGTGTGCACCATCTGCTCATGAAATATTACGGTCATTACCTGTAACTTTCTTATGTATGGTATAAACTAACTATTACCTTATTTATGTCAAACTTGATAGAAGTCTGATGAGGAGTTAAGGAGTGAACATAATGTACATTCTTTCATTATGTATGTCAAAGAGTTTTAAAAAAGCCATTTATAAAAATTGTCACATATTAATCCCATGGGTTAGAAAGTTAATGATCAAAGAATTTATGAAGTGATTGGTATTGCAGTCAAGGGAGCTAACTTTTGAATGCTTGAAATCCACTTGCTGGCCTACTTTGATATTTATAGACATTGCTCAGTCTTTGCTACTTGAGTCATATAAAGTCTCTCATCAATTCTTGTTATCAGAGGGTTGGAGTAAAATTGTTATCTCATATTGGTTCTTTATTATGCATGTTTTTATTGTGTCTAGCAGTGAGTCAGCGATAGGCTCTATATAAAGTATAGACTGTACCAGGCATAAATATTCATTATTCAATTAACAGAAAAGCTATCAGGTATGGTTGTATAAAAAGAAATTCATTATTGTTCATTGGAAAAAAAATCCTGTATTAACACAGATATTTCTATGCCCACCCCCTCCTCCTTCCCCAATTGATCTTTTTCTCTCCTAGGATCATGAGGATGTGTCACGATATTAATTTGTAAACTAGGGATTTTTTCAGATATTGTTGATGACACTCTATATAAGTATTCATTGATCATTTCATAGTAGTAGTGATCACACCAGGCTTTGTGATTTCTCAAGTTCATTGTCCAAGTGTGTTTGCACAATTAATATCCGTAATTAGGCATGTATCTTCTCATATCCTATTTAGAAATAAAATGTTATTAATCATTTAATGATACATGTATGGCAAAAAATAATGTCCTTCTGTTATATTTGTATATTTGTCAGCATTATAAAGTTGTTACTGAGGATGATTGACGTGTATATATGTCTCCTGATGTAAATAAATGATATAACTGGGAAGCTTACAAGGGCAAGAATCATTCATGATTTGGAACTTCCATATTCACTCAACAATAATTAACAAAAAGATAATTACTCATAGCAATATTCCCGGATCCAAAATATCCATGTGAGATTGCCTGATAAAACTGCTATGTTATATATTAATATGTGCATATGTCACAGCTCTTTCAATTAACTACAAGTTCATCTAACTACAATCTTGTATATCCAAGATATGTACAGGAAATAAAATTCGTTAGTTTGAAAGATTTCAACAGGTGGATATATAAACCTTGTGTAAAATTGAATCACATTTGTTATACGAAACACAAATCATTAATGCTGAGTTCTGAGGATATTATAGCCATATAAGGACACGATTACAATTACAGATGGGTTTGTTTGAACAAGCAGCTCCTAAAACCAGATAACGGGTTAAGTAATTCACCTGTAATAGGTGACTTCTTCACCTGTGTACAATCAGGTTATACTTTGGTCTGGAGAATATTTCTCTGCACAATCAGGTAGTATCTTTTTACACAAGCATTTGTAATTGTATGTTTTTTTGCATTGTAATTAAAGAAGATATTAAAAATTTCTTCAATTTTGCCTGTGTGTAAAAATTTACATGATCCTATTCAACGTGTATCATGTTGTAAGTGTATGATGTGTAAATATGTATCATCCGTATGTTATAATTTGTTATAATGTATAGCACTTATCACTGCTTGTTATGTATCAATGAATAGACATTTCTCTGATATCAGTATATTAAAGGTTAATATCGAGAACTGTGACCTAGCTGTATAGCTATAGGGATCCTGGTAATTATTTATATTCTGTGTTATGTAGGAGGTACACTCTGGAACTCCGTTAGGATTCTGATAGGCTTGTTTAAATAAAGGGATTGAGTTATGTACATTCACATTCGTAGAATTTTTCAGAATTGGATTTGGTTTATATTAGAAAGGTATGGCCGCTTTGGAAAGTTATTAAATGAATGTGAAAGAGTTTAGCAGTATTCAATTTTTTGAGAATGAAATTATGAATTTGCTTATACAAATGTAGTACTTATGCACTTCTTATTAAACAGAAATGAAACTTGGGAGCAAATTTTATTTGGTCTGGCATTTTGTTCATGTTCTTTGCCCCAACATTAGAAATTGGCTTGAACAAACTCAAATGAAGTTTATATTTTGTTGTATCTTGAGCTGATGGTCAAAGCTTAAGAGAAGGTCAAACATCAAGGTTAAAGGTCAAGGTCAGAGGAACTGGCCTAAATACAGTTTAGAATCAAACATCAAGGATAGAGGTCAAATGCATCTTCAGTAATTATTTTTTTTTTATAATATGACCTTATTCTATGAATTAATTTTGTTCTGGTATTTTTGTAGAGATAACCTGGTGCATTTGTACTTAAGATGTCGGGGAAGCCCCAGCTGATTGGCTACACGCCGACCTCCAACGAGGGGTCAGGTAAGGTCGAAGTGAAGACTGACGATTATCGTCTATAAATAATAATACAGGTAGTACACATATCATTTGATAAATTGATAGCAACTCATTATGACTATAATTTTTAAGAAAAACAAGCTAGAGCATCACACTGAAAAAATATGAACTTTCTAGGAAGCAAGGTATATTATAAAACCTTTGAACATCAGTTAGAGTGGATGTCTTTCCCAGAGTTAATACAATTTCTTCAGGTGAATGACTGTCATTTGCTGACTATGGTTAAAAATTAGATGATTTTAGGACATGTACACCTTGCATCTTTCCTAAAAATAGAAATATCATAACTGAAGAGCAATTTCCTGCTCAATATTTGGGAATTTGCAGGAGTGGTTAAATAAAAAGTGCTTCTTTTGCTGATTATGGTCAAAAGATAAGACAATTTGGGACACCTTGCATCTTTCCTAAACATAGAAATATCGTAAATCCTGATCTGCAATAAAGAATAATTTCCTGCTTATTGTGCGGAAATGCAGGAGTGGGGCAATAAAAAGTGCATTGAGGAGTTATTATTTAGAACGATAAACTGGAGCTCTCGATATGCTCTGGTGACTGGCTGAAATTTCCCGACCTTATATCAGAAGATTACTCTGGTCATCCCGCTGTTATCCGAGCCTGTTATTTGATGCTTACTGTATAATTATTTGCTGTCACAGCCAGATTTTTATTCACAACTTTGATATTTTTATACCCAGGTAGATTGACTTCCTTTAACATGTTTAAATTGTTTGGAAACTTATAGCTATCTCATTACAAAAGTGTTTATCTAGCAAAGCTAACTTAGAAAAAATAAAATAATAAATACATATTGTACTGGAATATTAAATGAAGTTAATTTTTTAAAGGGGGTGGGGGTGCGTCTTTCTCTTAATTATAGTACCAACACAGTTAACTTATGAAGTTATTCAGAGACATTTTTTAAATGATTTTATTTACCTCCTCTAGATTGAAGAATTTCTAATGGACGTTAACCTTACCGACAGGATGTGTGTATTTGATAAATAAACAAAATGTTATTTCATGCTGGCCTCAGTGACAAAATTTAAATAATTTAATTTCTCACATCAAGGGCATTTTATATAAAAAATATATATATACCTCAGTGGTTGTGCAGAAAATCTTTAAGATGAATCAATAAATCAGTATTTTAAATCAGTTGATGCATTCATACATAAATTTTCATCATAAACAGTTTTGAGGTGATTAAACTCTAAATGGCAGTGCAGGGTTTCCATGCAGTGTCTCAAGTCTGTCTGTTTGTCAGTAAACTTTGAACAAAAAAAGGGGTGGGTGAAAAAAAAAGTTTAAACATTCCCAGTTAATACGTGCATATATTAATATAGATTTCTTTGTTTGTTTTGGGTCTAAGATGTCAATGACTCATCTGCATGTCCTTATTTCTTGTATTAATAGAAATACTTCTACTGCATGCAAAAATTTAATAGAATCTATCATTTAGCATGTAAAGCAAGAAAATTTTACGCAGTAAATTAACCGTGTGTACTAGCATTTAAGTTTAATTCATTTGTCTGTCGATTTTTTTCTTTCAACCCTGAATTTCCTATACTTACCTGCTCAGGTGTAAAAGAACAAGGTCACATTTCAGGGTATTGGACACAGACAACGAGATGTTCATTTTAAAACCTTGTTTACTTCGATCAAGTTCTAAATATATTAGCACCCCACGTGGGTATATTTACGTATACCTGTAATTATTCAGCATCAAGAAATTGAGCTTCACCAAATCCTCTCGCTGAAAATTTGTGAAACCTGTTCCAGCTGTTTGTATACCTTGAACTGTTTTGGTGTATGTGTACTAAACTACTCAAAGCCGTTTTAAGTGATTGATGAAATCCGTGGGTATTTTGCATAATCATTCAGATTTTGCATACTTCTGGGAAATTTGAATCCATCAGTGCTTAGTAGTGTTAAGGATTGGGAATACATGGGACCATTTTAAGAACGAACAGCAGTATGGAGAGTAAGTAGAATTTTTTTTTCAGCAAAGCAACCATTGATGAGACGAACTTTAATAAATAGGTATTGATCTTTTTTAATATGAATTGAGGTCAGGCTCTTGTTATTATAAACAAAAAAGTCGTCTTGTCTAAGGAAAGTGTGGTTTTGTTTATAAATTACATAGATAAGATGGGGGGATTCTAAGGAAAGATTTGCTGTTTGTCTGCTGGAGGAGGTTGCTGAATATAATAATGTAAACAAAAGATAAAGGATGTGACAGGCAATGTGTGCCTTCATTTTAATCAATAAAGATTGGCACTTTTCTCTCTGTACTCTTATAAGTGTCAGGTTCCTGTTGAAAAGAATGGGAAGAAAATATTATCTTGCGACCCTTGTCAACATTATAGAATTCCCTCAAAGGGAGGTAAATGAACTCTGTCAAACTTTTAGGGTGCATGAATAACACAAAGGATTCTGAATTTGATCTGTCAAATAATTTCAGCTGCTGTGCATTGTCACTAATAACTGCTTGTCTTCAGGGAAAAAAAATTGGTTCGCTCAAACATAAAAATTGTAAAAGCTACTAAAAACTAATAGGTTTGCATGTATAGCTTCTCTATTTGACTCACTATCATTATGATTTTTTGTATGATTTTGTAGAATTTCATGAACCATTTCTACGAATCTACATGTAGATCTTTTTATTTCAGTTTTCTTACAATGTATGTACATGTGTTTGTTGAATTCTAGCTGCTTGTGATGGTGTAAATGTTGCATGCTTGGTGATTTTTAGCTCTACTGGTCAGAGACCAGAAGAGCTTATGTGATAGTAATGCGTCCGGCGTCCGTCCGTCTGTCTGTCTGTCTGTCTGTCTGTCCGTCTGTCTGTCCGTCTGTCTGTAAACAATTTTTCAAAACGCTACTCCTCCTACATTTTTAGTCTGATTTCAATATTACTTGGCACACAAGTAGACTACATTAAGATACATAGAATAGTGCATCGGTTTTTGATTTCGATGAACGGTGTTGCCATGGTTACTAAAAATAGAATTTTCTGTGAAATTCCTTAAAAACACTACTCCTTCTACAGTTTTGGTCTGTTTTCAATATAACTTGGCACACAAGTAGACTACACTACGATACATAGAATAGTGCATCAGTTTTTGATTTCGATGAACGGTGTTGCCATGGTTACTAAAAATAGAATTTTCTGTGAAATTCCTTAAAAACGCTACTCCTTCTACAGTTTTGGTCTGATTTCAATATAACTTGGCACACAAGTAGACTACACTAAGATACATAGAATAGTGCATCAGTTTTTGATTTCGATGAATGGTGTTGCCATGGTTACTAAAAATAGAATTTTCTGTGAAATTCCTTAAAAACGCTACTCCTTCTACAGTTTTGGTCTGATTTCAATATAACTTGGCACACAAGTAGACTACACAAAGAAACATAGAATAGTGCATCGGTTTCTAATTTTGATGAACGGTGTTGGCATGGTTACTAAAAATAGAATTTTCTGTGAAATTCTTTAAAAACACTACTCCTTCTACAGTTTTGGTCTGATTTCAATATAACTTGGCACACAAGTAGACTACACTAAGATACATAGAATAGTGCATCGGTTTTTGATTTCGATGAACTTTGTTGCCATGGTTACTAAAAATAGAATTTTCTGTGAAATTCCTTTAAAACGCTACTCCTTCTACAGTTTTGGTCTGATTTCAATATAACTTGGCACACAAGTAGACTACACTAAGATACATAGAATAGTGCATCGGTTTTTGATTTTGTTGAACGGTGTTGCCATGGTTACTAAAAATAGAATTTTCTGTGAAATTCCTTAAAAACACTACTCCTTCTACAGTTTTGGTCTGAATTCAATATAACTTGGCACACAAGTAGACTACACAAAGATACATAGAATAGTGCATCAGTTTTTAATTTTGATGAACGGTTTTGCCATGGTTACTAAAAATAGAATTTTCTGTGAAATTCTTTAAAAACGCTACTCCTTCTACAGTTCTGGTCTGATTTCAATATAACTTGGCACACAAGTAGACTACACTAAGATACATAGAATAGTGCATCTGTTTCTGATTTCGATTAACGGTATTACCATGGTTACTAAAAATAGAATTTTCTGTGAAATTCCTTAAAAACGCTACTCCTTCTACAGTTCTAGTTTGATTTCAAAATAGGTTGGCACACAAGTAGACTACACAAAGATACATAAAATAGTGCAATGGTTTTTGATAAGTACAAACCAGTAGAGCTACAGTCTCGACAGAGACTTCTGGTTCATGTTTCTTTTATTTGCATGGCTTAATGAAGGCAAAAACAGCATGGAAATGAATGGAAAAGGTGCTGGAAAAGGTAAGGAAGAAGTCACATGTCATCCTTAACTACCCTTAACCTAACACGGGGGTGGATCCATGAATTCAATCATCATATTGTTATTAAGATCGAGATTTGGTCCAATCTTCATTCGGACTCCTTTCCCTTCTCAAGAACTTTTCATTAAAACTATTGTTTTTGGTTCTCTCTCTTTTTCTTGCCCCCCTCTCTCTTTCTCTCACTCTCTCTCTCTTGCTCTATCTTATCATACAATTTTTAAAAATATTTTTGCAGATGTACCGGGTAGGTAATGATAATCGCTACATGTACATGTATATTTTTTGAAAACATTATGCAAGTATTCTAAAACATTCAGTGATAAGAATTCGTAAAATTTTCAATGTGTATGTTAGTGTATTGGGGTGTAGTTGAAATTCCTAGACACACAGGTATGTTTCTGGATCAGAATCGATACACACACAGGAAATGGGTGCCTGCCATATCTCACATATGTACGACAGGTATCTCCCTGCTAGGGTATGTGAAGAATGGTCAGGTGTAAAAAAGGGAAATGAAAAATTCTGTCAGAGGTTTGAATGTTTTTATTATAGAGATTTAATTCAATTAAAAGTTGACATTCTTTAAATTTCAAAAGGAAATCAGCTTTTAGGAGTTCTGCTGGCTCCGGGGTTTTACAGTTTTGTATACCCTGCCTTTGAGAAAAAAAAAAACTCTGTCTATAACTAAGGAACATAAATTCTTTTGGCTACCATTCTTCTTTTTTAATTAACAATTATTAACTATTTTTTCTCTTTTACAGCTAAAAGTTTAATTTTAAGTTTTATGAATTAGAGTCCTATTTAAAATTATACCTTTTGAATATCACCTTTTACAAGCAAATAATACAGAATTCAGTCAGTGATTTTGTAAAAACATTATAAAACAGGAATTCTATACACTGATTGTGTAACGTGGTGCAATCTTACACCATGTGTCTACGAGGGCATTGTCCCGGTATTTAAACTCTAGGTCACAGTACTAGATATTGAACGCATTGAATGTATTTGAAGAATTCGGTCACATGACTAAATAAGGTAATGATTTTTTTCCTGTTCAGTTGCGATAACTGACAAGGAAAATAAGATAATGATAGAAGAAAATCTTTATTTATTTCACCTTTTAAAATAATTATTATAGGATTCAATTCATGCATGTGGTCTCTTTAAAAGATGAATTAAATGAAAAAAGATAAGGGGTACCAGTTTAATACAATGCCTTTTTAAATGTTTTATAATTTATTAACTATAAGGACATATTCATTTTTATTACCCGGGGTGGGGTGGGGGTACATAGGAATCAGCTTATTAGCATTTTAATTATTTTAAAAATACATTTTTAAATATAATTGCTAGATATTTATATTATAAGGAATCAATAATTAAATCATGAATCTCTAAGATAAGACTTTGTTCGTTGTCATTGTCCCTTAATTTATTTATAGGTATTAATAATATAAACTTGAAATTCATAAAATTATTTAGATTAAAAAGCTTAAATCCTGTTTATGAACAAGAATTGAAAAAAGGTTCGATCAGTTTATGTGTGTAAATCCCCCAAAATAAATTATTATGCATTGTTGTGAAAGACTAAGATAATTCAAGCAGTGAATCTTGAAGAAATAAACAATAAATTATGACACTACATCAAAGAAATGTTAAAAAATGTTTAAGTTTCTTGAAATCTGTTAGAATTATGTCATTGATGTTTTAATAAGGAGATATAACTTGTATTGTAGATTCTGAGGGAGAGGGGGAGTTGGCCGTTAATGGTCGCCCAGCAACAGCGTCCACAGTGGACATGGACAAAGTGGAAATTAAAACGGGCAAAGATGACGAGAAAGAAAAAGAGAAGAAAGAACCCCAGAAAATGGTCGGCACTTGTGAAATCGTAAGTGTGGACTTCAACGTTCTACCCGATAGAATTCTACTTGGAAATACATATGTTATTTTGTAAATTATAAACTACCGTGTAAGCAGAAATTTTAGGAAGGATTAATTTAGCATATTTAGAGTGGAGTTTAAGATCACTTAAAGTCGTAATAATGCATGTTGTTCTTTTCTTACTAGTTTAAGTATGCAGACTGTTTGGATGTGTTTCTGATGTTCCTGGGATCGTTCTGTGCCCTGTGTCATGGCGCCGCCCTGCCTTGTATGATCATCGTGTTCGGGAATATGATTGACACCTTCGTGGAGTCGGGAAAGCTCCAGTATTTCCTCCAAAGCCTGAATTCTACTTACTTACAATCCCAGGGACTCAGTGTAGAAGGTATCATCAAGGATCCAAAAATTCTGCAGTGAGTATATTGTACATATCTGAATGTTAAAGGGTTAGGGACTAAGTGTAGAAAGTATCATCAAGAATCCTAAAATTCTACAGTGAGTAATCTATATGCATGATATGTCAGGGGCCGGTTTTCAAAAGAACTTAGGACTATACCAAATACTTCAGATGACTGTAAAAGTTAGCAAAATTGATAATTCTCCTTGAAATTTTTTGTGTAATATTTTACCACATTTCTTTTAAGAACTTTAAAATTATTTATGGTATAAAGTTAATTCAAAAGTTATATGAAGAATTAATTTTGGTCTTAAGTCATAAGTCCTTTTGTAAAACGGGCCCCTGAATGTTAAAGTGTTCGGACTAAGTGTAGAAAATATCAGAAGAATCCCAAAATTCTTCAATGAGCACTGAAATCATTGTTCAAAGGGGGGGGGGGGGGTCAGTGTTCATGGGTAATCAAAATTTGACTGGTTCTTAGGGGGATGTCATTTTGTAGGAGACCTGCATGTTTTATAAAGAGAAATAAATTTACCTTGAAAATGTTATGTTTCATGTTCATGGGAACCTAGTTAATTGGAAGTTAAGGGCTACTCATAAAATCCACAAACATACTGTATATCACTTTTTATTTGCGAGAACTTTATTTTTGCGTAATTATGCGAGAGAGTGTGCTCGCGAAAATTTAATTCTCGCGTATAAAAGTATTTCTTAGGATAATATAGAGCAAGAACCACAATTCGTGAAAATTTTGCCTTGCTTAGCAAGAGTCAATGACTATCTCGCGAAAATAAGGCGTCGCGAAAATATAGCACTTGATCTACAGTAGATTCCCAACAAACGATGATCCTATAGTATATATATCTTACATGCCTGAATGTTGAACTGTTAGGAAATGCTGCAGTTTGTATGCCTGTACTAAGTCTTACAGATCGCTCTATGAAGCACTTGTGTGCACTAATTCTTGTTAAGTTCGAAGTAAAAAAAGAAAATTTTTTGTTTATTTTTTTATGATGATCACACTATAATAAGTCAAATTAATCACACTCCAGCCTGCTTTTACAAACTTTTCGTGATGTGATATCTGTTAACTTTTTCATATCTGTTTTCATCGTCAAAACTGATTGAACCTCTGTGTTTGATTTTAGGCCACATTTGTCAAACTTGACAACATATTACAACGTAACAGACTTCTCAATTTACAACAATTCCATACAGTATGATTTGTTGGACACTATGACAGAATTTGCTGTTTATTATATAGGTAAGTAAAAATAAAAGATATTAAAATCTTGTGTTGATACATTATTGAATAAAAAAACCAACATATTTCATTAAATTGAAAGATAATTTAATAGTTATTCATACAATAACATTGTAGACAAAAGCTACGGTGTAATTTCCATTTTATTGGAACCAACATGTTTTCTCTGCAGTGCCATACAGAGAAAACCAGTGGGTTCCAACATTGCATTATATTGGATAGGAAGAAATGTACAAATGCATGTATGCATTATGTATGAAATATTTTTTTTAATTATACCCCCCGCAAACGAAGTTTAGGGGGGGTATATTGGAATCACCATGTCCGTCTGTCCGTCTGTCCGTCTGTCTGTCTGTCTGTAGACGAGATTTTGTCCGGACTATTACTCAGAAACTATTGGAAGGATTGGTCTGAAAATTTGTACAAATATTATTCATCGTATGAAGTTGTGCACCTGATATTTTCATCTTGATTCGATTATTATTTTGAATTTTACAGGTGTTTTTTCATTTTTATTTTATGGTTTTGTCCAGACCGTTTCTCAGAAACTATTGCAAGGATTAATCTGAAAATTTGTACAAATATTATTCACCGTATGAAGTTGTGCACCGGATATTTTCATCTTGATTCGATTATTATTTTGAATTTTACAGGTGTTTTTTTCATTTTTATTTTATGGTTTTGTCCAGACCGTTTCTCAGAAACTATTGCAAGGATTAATCTGAAAATTTGTACACTTATTATTCACCATATGAAGGTGTGCAATTGGAATTTTCAACTCTTTTTGTTCATTTTTTTGCATTTTACAGGTTTTATTTTTTATTTTAATTGACTTGTTCATTTTGGGCTCATGTATAAGGTTTGAGACATAGAATCTAGAATATCTGTACAAAAATACTACAGCTTAAAACTACTCATATAAACTTAAAAAAAAAAACATCATCAAGTGCTAAAAACAGTTTTTACATTGCACAGAAGATAATGTAATTTCATTTGTCTCTTGGGAATAATGACTGGACATGCATCCAGTTAAAGATAAATTAATGAGTTTGGTGTGGGAAGTTGAACATTAAGGCATCTCATTATCAACCATGTGTAATCTCCTGGGAATCAGGCACAAGAATTAAAGATCTCTCTTCTCTTATTCTCTTAATTGTAATTTATTGTCTGTCAAAGCACTTCATTACTGGATGACCACCTCTTTATTTTCAAATGAATTTGATATAAAGTTATCAAGATTAATTTGATTTGGTATAATATGATATATTTTTTTTAACAATCAGTGTGCAGAGTGACATAACACATAATTGCAATATATTTTTTTAATGCAGAAATAAAAAAATTAAATAAAAAAAATAATGTTACAATGGAATTACAATGTATTAGTATTGATGTTTCATTTGGTTGCACCTTTGTTTCATTCATTAAGAAACATGATGAGCAATTATATTTCATTGCAAATTTTTGTAAGTAAATTGTGAACACCTCTAGATCCATAAAGTATTTTTGAATTGGCACATTCTCTGAAAAACCCAGCGGGGGGTATTCGTCCCTATTGGACAGTTCTAGTTTAAGATGGGCACACATGAATATTGAAGAAAAATTCTTATAAATTATGAAGTTTGGATGAAAAGATAAATTTTGTCTTGAAGTTTAATAAGGATTATTGACGATTCAAATTGATTTCTTTTGTGCAGCCATTGGTTGCGGTGTACTGGTGCTAGGATATGGTCAGGTGGTATGCTGGGTGACCGCCGCAGAGCGACAGTGCCACAGAATCCGAATCTCGTTCTTCCGCAATGTAATGCGACAGGAGATAGGCTGGTTTGACACTCATGATTCAGGGGAGCTCAGCACGAGACTCGCAGAGTAAGAATTGCTTGTAATACAGTACAACTTCTGTGTATTAAACACTGCTATCTAGAATACCATGTATATTTTGAATTGATTCGGAAGTCCCAAATAGTTTTACCCTCTATATCTTGAATTTTCGGATATCTCAATTTTTTTTCTCAGTCCCATTGAGTTCAAGATAATTAGGGTAACTGTTTTATAAAAAATGCTTAATAAACTAATTTTTATCAAATTATTTTTTGTCAGTTTTAACTGTTCTTTCTTTCTATCTCTTTTAGTGATATCAATAAAATCCACCTGGGAATCGGTGACAAGATGGGGACCTTTGTTCAGTGGATGTCTGGGTTCTTCGCAGGATTCACTATCGGATTTATCTACGGGTGGAAACTAACGCTGGTCATCCTGGCCATTACCCCACTGCTGGCTGGAGTAGCCACACTGATGAACAAGGTAAGCAACAAAGATTCTTGCTGTTTAGTTGATTGATTGATGAAGTGATTGATTGATTGATTGATGAAGTGATTGATTTGATTGACTGATGAAGTGATTGATTGATTGACTGATGAAGTGATTGATTGATTGATTGATGAAGTGATTGATTGATTGACTGATGAAGTGATTAATTGATTGATTGATGAAGTGATTGATTGATGAAGTGATTGATTGATTGATTGATGAAGTAATTGATTGATTGATTGATTTGCCTCTGAAATATTGACTTTTGTGGTCATCAAAATTAAAAGCCTATTTTTTATAATCTTTGAGAAAGTGCTTCTGTAGTTTCCATATTGAAATGTATGGGTAATGTTGTATAAGTGTGTCTTGTTTGTCAGCACTTTCTGAAGCACTTCCAAGAAAAAGAAAATAACACAGTCTAAATATTCTCAAAAAATTATCTATGACTGACCTATATTCAGGATAATTTTTTTTTTAACAAAAAACAGAGAGTTGAGGCAGGTTGTAAAAATATTGTAAAGAAATATTAATCCCTATATATAATCATATTATGATGAAGATGTGTGTGGCATCTGTGTTTATACTGTTTGTTGATTTCAGCTTCTGTCCCTGAGTGCCAGTAAGGAGATGACAGCTTACGCTAAGGCTGGCTCGGTGGCAGAGGAAGTCCTCGGAGCCATCAGAACTGTCGCCGCGTTTGGTGGACAGACCAAGGAGTGTGCCAGGTATGTGTTCATACAGAATTAGCTTGGATAGTTCAATTTGGCAAACTTCCCTAGCCTCAAAATTAAAATAAGCTTAAATAGATATGAAATAAAGAATGATGGAAAGTTCAATTCTTTGAGAATTTTCAATCTTTTAAGAAGCTGTGTTTGATTACAATAAGACAGTGCTGTGTCAGTACCCAGAATTCTTGTTAGTTTTAAAATGTGTTTATAATTTTATTACTTTGCATAGAAGGAATAATATACTGGAATCATATAAATCTGGGGAAGTTTCTAGTATGCCGGTCCCCAGAATCACGCGATTGCGCATGAGCAGTTATTTCCCTTGTCGTTGCTATGCAGAATGTAAACAAACAGCTTCAACAAAACGCATCCGATCGAGTGATTTGGGTTAGGTTATATAGTTTTTAAAATTGGGGTTGTTTCATAAATCCACTCTTAATCTTTCTGAATTTATGTAATTTTTGACCAAAAACTTGCATGAATCAACCTTTCAAATCATGCCGATATCTTACACTTTGGTTTAGTTCATGAAATTTTTGCTTAACAATGAACAGGAAAGTTTAAGAAATGAAAGTTCGGGTAAATCAACTCTATTGTCGAAACATGACGATTTTCAGCGCTGAGTTTAGGCAAGTTATTGTAAAAGCGACTTACCGTTAACTTGGTTAACTGTGCAGCTCGATATCCTGACCTCCTAATGTCCAAATATTCAGAATATTTTTCCTTTCAAATCGATAATGATGCACATTTCAATCCATCGTTGACTAGTAATTAGCTAACATTTGTTAAATCCCTGTATTTCTCACAAAAATAACGCAATTTTAATAGCATTGCACTTTGAGTTCTATCAGGCATTTCTTCATTACGTCAAAACACAAGTGACGCATCTCATGAATAGTTATGAGATTACGTCAAAAATTGATCATGTGACTACCGGTGTTTAAAAACCAGTTTTTTAAACCCAATTTTTCACAAGGAACACGAATTTGGGGTCAAATTTGCAATTTGTGGCTTCTTTTTCAATTTTGTCGATCGCTCACGCGATCGTCTGTATATTGTACACCGCCTTCGGCGGTACCTATTTTAGCGCCATATTTATGGGGACCGGTATACTAGAAGTGTTCCTAAATCTGTAATGTAAAGAAAGGAGACGGTACTGTCCTCAACTTTGTTATATAAAAAAAAATTGTATGCAAGTTTTATTTAAAAAAGAAAAAAATTATCCACCTTCTACTTTGAGGTCTTATTAAGTGTCTCTCTGTTGTACAGGTATGACAGTCACCTGGAGGAAGCTAAGAAGAACGGGGTGAAGAAGGGGATCACTGTGGGCTGGTCCATGGGTCTGGTTTATCTGGTCGTGTTCTGTGCCTACGGTCTTGGATTCTGGTATGGAGCCAAGCTGATCCGCGAGGACGATGATTACAAAGTCTCCAATGTCCTCATTGTAAGTTTACAGTCGCCAATGTCCTCATTGTGAGTTTACAGTATATTTTTGTCCTCTTGTTAGTTTACAGTACAGGTTTGTCCTCATTGTAAGTTTACAGTATATTTTTGTCCTCTTGTAAGTTTACAGTACAGGTTTGTCCTCATTGTAAGTTTACATATTTTTGTCCTCTTGTATAAAGCAGAAATTTTTATTCTCCCGTAAATTAACATTTTCTTCCTCACTGTATGTTGACAATTTTGTCCTAACTATAGGTTGAAATATTTTTATCCTCATTGTAAGTTACCCTATTTTTGTTCTCCTGTAAATTTACATTTATGTCCTCACTGTTAGGTTGTTTCATGATCTCAGGCCCAGACAACTTTGTAGACAAAGTTTTTTCATCAGGATATTTATTGAAATGTTAATCTTTATACTATACACATTTGTTTAACAGGTCTTCTTCAGTGTTCTGATTGGAGCATTTTCTCTCGGACACGCAGCTCCCAGCATGCAAAGTTTATCTGTGGCAAGGGGATCTGCATTCACTGTCTATGCCTTGATAGAACAGGTAGGACTTGTATAGAGCTGGGTGTAGCATTTCATTGCCAGAGATTTACCCTTTATTATCATGGCTTGATGAAGCAATGAAAATGAGAGGAGTTCAGTTATACTGGATTTGCCTTGCTTTAAGTATTTAAGAAGAAATTTCGTATTATCATCTACATTAGTAGATACGATGACGTTTAGTCAATACCATCATATCATGAGAGAAGTGATCTAGGAAACTAATACTGAATCATAAAAGTCTTGTTCATTTAAAATTTAGGAGCCTCATATTGACTCGGCCTCTGATCAGGGGGAGAAACTGTCCTCCGTCAGCGGAAACCTGACGTTGAGGAACGTCCGATTCCGATACCCGGCCAGGGAGGAAGTACAGGTAAAAAAATTTACAAACTAAAAAATCTTACTGTAAAAATCTCTTAGTACAAACAAAGATATTGGGAATTCTCAGATTTAGCAAAGTTATCTTGGATCCCCAGCTATATTAACGTAACGAATTTTTTGTTACGGATATAGCAAATTACAGATATAGTGAAGTAATTTCATAGGCCCCAGTGACTTCATTATAACTGAGTTATACTGTACTATAATTTTACACATGGAAGTGATTCCTTTGAAAATAAGAATACAGTCGCAAAAATCAAAAGTTAGAGTGACAAGAAATAAATATAAGAGAAAAATTGGACTTTTACCTTTATTTCTGTACATTCCAAGAGTAATTTTGCATTAAGTTCATGACCTGAGTAAATTAACAGGTGTTAAAAGGTGTCAGCTTGGACATCAATCGAGGAGAAACTGTGGCCCTGGTGGGATCAAGTGGGTGTGGCAAGAGTACCATCATACAGCTACTACAGAGGTTCTACGACCCGGAGGAAGGGGAGGTAAGTCTGTTATAGGGTGGAGACAGAAAAAGTTAATTGTGTTTGGAAGCACAATTGCTTCGTGCATTTTAGATGTCTTAATTACTAGCATAAAAATAACTTCTCTCAAGTGTTTTCTAAACCTTTTTTGTAAGCTTTCAAATTTTTATTTTGGTATATTTGAATGATTTATCTTTTGATAATTGAAATATATGTGTGTTGCTTAATTTGAAACAAATTAGAAATTTATTAAAGAACAATTTGCAACAAGCAGTGCATTAAGATTTCACTCTGAAACTGGAATGTCTTTTGACACAAGACTTTGTGAGCCATTTTATGATTTATCTAGACTTTCAGTTTTTTTCTGTATTTGAAGTCAGTTTTGCAGAAGTTTAAGAAAGATGTCTGTTTACTTAATTTTATTTCAAGTTTTGATACAAATTGGAAAAAGAATTATACTGAATGTTTAAATCCATTATCCAGGTCGCTCTTGATGGCAAAAACATCCGAAGTCTGAATACAAAATGGCTGAGACAGCAGATAGGAGTGGTCAGCCAGGAACCTGTCTTGTTTGCCACAACCATCGCAGAAAACATCCGCTATGGCAAAGAAGGGATTTCCCAGCAAGAAATCGAGGCTGCCTCGAAAATGGCTAACGCCCACGACTTCATCATGAAACTTCCTAATGTAAGGGGAAAAAAAGTCATTGTGAATACTTGTGTTTCCGGGTTTGTTATACGCCCGTCTCAAGACGGGACGTATTATGTTATAGGCTTCATGTCCGTCCGTCTGTCCATTCGTGTCCAGCTCATAACTTGAATACTATTAGACCTAGGATTATCAAACTTTGACAGTTGATACTTCTTGGGTAGACAGTGTGTCGCGCACAAAAAGTAGGTCGCTCTGACCTTTGATAAAGATGCTATGGGCAAATATGGAAAAATCCTGTCCGGCTCATAACTAGAAAACTATTAGACCTAGAGCTTTCAAACTTGGCAAAATTATACATCTTAGGTGGAAGGTGTGTCACGACCTATTTCAAGGTCACTGTGACCTTTAATTTAAGTGAATTTTTTTAAAAAACTAAGTCTTTAAAATTTTGAATTTCATAATCCTAGAAAATGTAAAAATATAGTTGTATCCTTATTTAAAAATGTTAAATCAAGTAAAAACTTATTTTTTCATTATACATTTTACAGCAATCTGTAACAAATCTTTATGCTTTGAGAGGAATTCAGTTTGTCCTATGGGCATAATTATCAAGCAGTGGTCAAGAAGAATTTTGATAGCAGAAATTCGCATGTCAAATTAGAGAGCAATTAATGAGTTTATTGTCAGGAGCTAACTGGTAGACTAAGAGCATCTCTGATAATGCAGCTGTTATCTTAATTTATCTCTTGGGAGTTGGGCAAAAAGAAATGGCCTCATAGTTGCTTGTGTTAATTAAGAGTTCTTGATGGCTATAGTCCAGATAAAGATCTTTTAATTAGTGTAATGTAATTAAAACAAATTGATGTTTTAGTGTATGATTAAAATTAAATTAGTAACAGTCATGTCTCACTTAGAATTTTATAGTCTGAAGAATAATTTATTTCTGATTTTTTTATTAAACTGTAGCATTTCCATTATTCCATAAAATATGCAATAAACAATTTAAAGCTGCAGATGGATATTTGTTAAGTTCTAACACAGCCAGTGTAGAATTATATGATGTATTTTTTGTTAATAATTAATCTCTACACTGTAAGTCTCTTAGAGAAGTATATATGTACAATATTTTAAACATGATAAGAAATGGAAATTAGATCATTGAAATCTGTGTCAATCTGTTAATCAATGTTATCTGATTTTCTTGCACCTTTACCAATTTATGATTATTGAACAATATATTTGACGGGCGTATCATGCTGTGGCAGGGCACTTTATTTTTACTTGCAATTATAAAAATGAAAGTTTAAAGAAGCATTACATATTGTTTGTTTAGAAATACGAGACGCTGGTAGGAGAGCGCGGGGCCCAGATGAGTGGTGGACAGAAACAGAGGATCGCTATTGCCCGTGCCCTGGTCAGGGATCCCAAAATCCTACTGCTGGACGAGGCCACGTCAGCCCTGGACACAGAGAGCGAGTCAGTGGTACAGGAGGCCCTCGACAAGGTCAGAGGTCATAATATAGGACAGCTACGAAATACTTGTATTGGAATGTAATCTTGGAGATATAAGTTGAAGCCTGTGTCAGAAAAGTCTTTGTCTCAGAATTTTTATAATTATTAAGTAGTATAATGTTTCATAATACTGGAAATCACTTTATATTCGGGAGAACTTTATTTTAGCGTAATTACGCGAGACAGTGTGCTTGCGAAAATTTAATTCTCGTGTATGATAATATTCCTTAAGATTATATACAGGAATAAACACAATTCGCGAAAATTTTGTCTCACTTTTCAAAAGTCAATGACTATCTCGCCAAAATAAGGTGTCGTGAAAATTTAGTGATCTACAGTATTGTCAGAGGTTAATGAAGCCACCCCTCTTCAAAAGCCACCAAAAGAGGCAATTTTTATGTTAAACAGTTTCAGAATGAATTATTGAACTATGTTAAAAGTGCAGTATTAAGATGTAAATTCTATGATTAGGCTAGAGCAGGAAGAACAACTGTAGTGGTCGCACACCGACTGTCCACCATCAAAACGGCCGATAAAATAGCGGGATTCCAGGAAGGGGTCATAGTGGAGAATGGAACACACGACGAACTGATGAAAAAAGGGGGCGTGTACTTCACACTGGTGACCAATCAGGTGAGGCCAATGGCTGTCAATCAAACTCCTCTTTGCTTTTGAAAAAAAATTTCTGTGATTGAGAAAGATTGAAATTTTACCTGATTTTGAAATGTTGAATAAATGGAGGAAGAATTAAAGAATAAATTAGTTAATCTTGCCTTGGGTTTTCGTTTTAGACTCGGGAAGTAGATGAAGAAGGTCAGTTAAATGTTTTTGTTAATTTTACTCATTAATACGTATTGTCTTTGTGTTTTTATTTTTCATTAGTTTGTACCTGTATGGCTCTTTGGGCTGCACATCTTTTAGAGATCAAAAGATTGTCTTTGGTCACAACAATTTCAGTTCTTATTTCAGCACAAGGATGATTTTTTTTTTCAATATATTGCTCAATTAAAATGAAGTTCTTCAAGATCGAAAAAAATTAATTAGAGTATAGATGCTTTGTATAATATATATATATATATATATATATATATATATATATATATATATATATATATATATATATATATATATATATATATATATATATATATATATATATATATATATACTTAAGGCTGAAGACAATCTTGGTATAGCTAAATGCACCATATCTATACATTTAATGGTTGCATTGAAGAATGGTTGGAGTGAATTAGTTACAATATATTAATATTGTAGTCTTTTGGCACCATACATTTGTATATCACTTAAATGTAGAATGTATGTATGCATGCACAAGTCATCCAAAGTTTAAACATGAAAATATTAAGTGTTATTCTTAGCTACATGTAATTGTATTGAGGTATTTTTTAAAAGATAAATTGAGAAGTTTTTGTGTTTGAAATGTTTTTGATTGTCAGAGAGAAGGGGATCAGTTACATCCTATTGATAAAGGAACAAAAAACATATTTTTTTAAAGTAGTGATGGGGGGGATTATTTGCTTTGGATGACATATTGCACTATATTTTACATATTTTGATATGAAGTGTGCACGTTTTATTAATAGTTGTATTAGTATGTTATTAATGCCAGTCATTGGTGAAATGAAATAAGTTTTAGACCAGAGTAAAAAGACACAGGTATTCAGAAACCCTTACCTTTAACTGAAATTAAAGATTTTATAAAATTATGACTGGTGTTTTTTTTGTGGTCTAAAACATATTTCACTGTATAGTTAATGAATAACCATCTGGTTTAGTTTTTCTAGTATTCTTTAATATGCTAACTTTTCTATTTACTGTCGTCTCATTTCATGCTAACTTTAACACAGGAAGGTCACAAGATGAAGAAGGTATGTTAATTTCATAGATTTGTCGTATTTAACAAAAAAACCTAATAAATTTGATCATTATTTAATAATTTAACAAAACTAAAGCATACTGCTTTGTTTAAATTGTCACTGTCGACAAAAATCTTTCCTGAATAAATATTTAAAAAATAGCAGGGTACCATCCAAGTGTCCTTGACCTTTATAAAGAGAATTAAAGATACATCAGTTTCTTAGCATCAGATGTGTAAATTCAGGCTCACTTTCATTTTGTAAATTTTTATCTTTTAGTTTTTTTGTAGTGAAAATTTTTACATTTCTAGGTTAAAAAACGTCATTGCAAGTTTTGAACAGTACACAACTAATCATCATTCATAAGTTAAAAGCTTCTCAAAATCATAAGACCTATCAATAAAATTGATATTTATCTATTTGCATGTTTGCATAAATGCATGCTGAAATTGCTTACTTTGTAAAGACATCATATATTCTAGAAGCAGAAATAAATGACAGTGTAAATATTTACTTTGTGCATTTTTAAGCAATGAATAAACAAATTTAAGACATATTTCTGTGAAAGTTGTAAACCACCCTCCAAAAATTATCAAATATCACAGCTAGGATAAAGGTTGTTAAACTATTTTAGACCAAAGGGAGAAAAATCTCTACCGGTATATTTTTTTTGTGATATTTTTATAAAAAAAACCTTACACAAATCTTTAAGATATATAAAAAATTCTATAGACTTTATCTATAATTGACACAAAGTATCTTACTTGCTTCAGAAGATAACATTCAGATAATTAGCATTATAAAAAAGCAATGAAGAACCACTAATTTCTCCTTGACCTTTCAGAGGAAATGCTGATATCTAAATTTGTCAGTCCATCGGAGAAAGAGAAGAAGTCCTTGGATCGTCAGATTTCCTATCAGATAAAGAGTCCGCTCAGAAACCAGGTGTCCATTGATAAAGTCCCGGGGGTGGAGGAGGAGGAGAAAGGGGGAAAGAAAAAGGTGAGTAGAAGAAAGAACGGTAGAACAGGGAAAGTTTTTGCCCCCATTTTATTTTCGCCCTTTTTGCCATGTTTGTTTTACAGGAAAGGAGAAAATGTTTGGCTGGACCGGGAATCGAACCCATGACCCCTGCATCACTAGCCACGTGCTCTACTGACTGAGCTACCTAGGCCAATGTCCACAGCTTGTTTTGCATTATTGAATACAGCATTAATTGTCATTTTGTTACAGATATTCTAGGTTTATGCATCTCATTTAATATGTTTGAAATTGGATGTTTCTTATCTTTGGAATGCATTGTAATTCTGGTATTAAACTGTTACAACAAACATGCTTAGAATAAATTCATGCTTACGGCAAAGGAGTATTCATTTAATGTAATTTAAAATATTTTATATGCTTGCTAAAAACAAATCAAAATTACTTGTTCAAGGCACTTTGCTATAAGCATTTGTTTTATATTGTACTTTGCTTAGCAAAAATAGAAATGAAGCTGGAAAGGACAGAAAACTACTTGAATATCAAAACATTCAAATTAAGATGATTGCGTTGTCTCAATTGTGACTGATATTATGAATTTCTTTTCAGAAGAAAGAGTCTGATGAGCCACCACCTGCTAGCATGGCCCAGATATTAAGGATGAATGCTAAGGAATGGCCCTATATTCTGTTTGGTTGTCTGGCTGCCCTGCTTAATGGAGGTGTTCAACCCTCATTTGCTGTCATTTTCTCTGAAATCTTAGGGGTAAGGTTTTTGAAGACATCAGCAAAAAAATATTTACGAAATATTTAATACTCTTTCCTTGTTCAGCGTAAATATTGTCCAATGATAGTGATTTAAAAAAAAAAAATGAAGCAGTTGCAAATCTATTGCTGAGATAAATTATCTAAATTTTTATTTTTTCTCTATTCTGAGTTTTCAAGAGCACATGTAGTTATCTGTTAACTCAAATTGAGGCAATTTGCATATGCTTTGTATGGTTGTATGTATCAATAAATGAACCTGATATTCTGTAGGTATTTTCTGAGCCGGACCAAGAAAAACAGGAGAGAGAAGTAGAAATGTACGTTCTCATTCTCTGTGGAATTGGAGGTGTCAGTTTCTTCACCTTTCTCATTCAGGTACGTCATAATTTCTATAGAGGATTCAAATATAGCTACAATGTGTCAATTTTAAGAATTCCTTTCCTTAATGACATAATTATATATTTATATGTTATTTAAGGGCTACTGTTTTGGAGTGTCTGGGGAATCCCTTACGATGAGGCTACGACGTCTAGTGTTCAAGGCGATGCTGAGACAGGACATCTCCTGGTTTGACGACCATAAAAACACGACAGGTGCTCTCACCACACGACTGGCCACTGACGCCTCGCAGGTTCAAGGGGTAGGTGCAAATCTTTTCATTCAGTACATGTGGACATGGATTGAAACTTACGATCATTTTGATTTATTCACCATTTAGGTTTATTGTAGCTTTATAGTTTCCTTTTGAAAAATCAAGGCTTCTTTATTTAAAAGTGTTGCAAGCAAGATTGCCTCATATAATATTTTTAATTAAGTGGTGATAGATAAGTTATCAACGTACGTAGTAAGAATTAATGCTTCTTTTAGATCTCTGGAGCCAGACTAGGGAGCATTGTACAGAGTATAGCTAACCTGGGGACGGCCATCATCATTGCGTTTATCTATGGCTGGAAGCTGACCCTGGTCATAATGGCCTTCTTGCCATTCATCATGATTGCTGGGATGTTACAGATGAAGCTGCTACAAGGAGTGGCAGGTGAGGGAGTGTCTTCTCACTGTAGGGAATTATTTCCAGGAAAATGGCATAATTCAGGATTTTCGTAGAGAAAATTAAAATGAATGTGAGTAGAGAAAATTAAAATGAGTGTGAGTAGAGAAAATTAAAATGAGTGTGAGTAGAGAAAATTAAAATGAGTGTGAAGATCAAATACAGTAAGATAGTCTTATAACGAAGTGCCAGGGACAGATGAGTTTGGTCCATTATACACAATTTTTGTTTATATCCATTTAGTTTACAATATAAATGTATGATTAAGTCATATCACTTCACTCTTAGTATCAATTCAGTCTAAGCGTGTTCACATGTTCATCTATAAAATCTTAGTTCAGTTAGCTACATTAAAACTACATTAATTTCCATTTCTTTGTTTGAAATTATAATAATGCATCCATGTAAATCTATAATTGCACCTAGTCCTTTTAACAAGATACGTTTTATCCCTTTGACCACAGGACAAAACAAAGAAGCATTAGAGGAAGCAGGAAAAACTGCTACGGAATCGATTGAGAACATGCGTACCGTGGCTAGCCTGACCAAGGAGGAGAAGATGGTTCAGAATTACAAGGCCCTGCTCCAGGGGCCTTACAGTGCCTCGCTGAGGAAGGCCCACCTGACCGCCATCGCCTTCTCCTTCGCCACGGGAATCCTGTTCTTTGCCTATGCCGCCTCCTTCTGGTTTGGAGCCTATCTGATCCGACAGAATGAGATGGAGTACACTGATGTATTTAAGTAAGTCAGATGATACAAATCGAGGGAGAAATTAATATTTCTAAACCCCTCCCCCCATTTTTTTCTAATATTTTTTAGTCCAACTGAGGTAAAAGCTTAGTTTTCTGATTGTAAAGAATTTGTGTTGTAAGCAAATCTGAGCATATCTCTAGAACCCCTCAGTCAATATTCTTTTGGATGCAAGCCTTAAACAAAGGGAGATCATTCTATGCAATCTAATATTCCTCTTTCTTTATAAACAGGGTGTTTAGTGCCATTGTGTTTGGTGCCATGGCCCTGGGACAAGCCAGTGCTTTTGCTCCTGATGCTTCTAAAGCCAAAGTTTCTGCTGCCCATATATTCCATATGCTGAAAATGGAACCCAAAATTGACCCTTACTCCGAGGAGGGCAAGAGAGATGTAAGTTTTAAGTGTTGTGTTAAACTTTCTGTTTTAAATTACTTTATCATTTGTTCTCACTGTAAACAACAAGGTACCACTGTAAACCAACTTTTATTCGCGACGACTTTATTTCATGATTTATCGAGGGGTAAACTAGTTCACTATGATTAATTTTCGCGATCAAGCCTGTTTAGGTTCTTTTGTGAATAGACACATAGACTTTAAGAACCTGTTCGCAGCGAGAAATATTTGTGATGATGAGGCTCATGAACTTCGGGAAAATTTCTCGCACGCGAATAAAAGTTGGTTTACAGTATTTGATGGTCTACAGTGTTAACAATGATTTTATTTTAAATTTCTTTATTTGTAGCTCACTGTACACAGTAAGGTCCGATTTGAGGGTCTACATTTCCGTTATCCCACACGACCAGACGTGGAGGTGCTACAGGGTCTGACCCTTGAAGTTAACCCCGGGGAGACGGTGGCATTAGTGGGGGCCTCAGGGTGTGGCAAGAGCACCACAGTACAACTGATGGAGCGATTCTATGACCCAGAGGAAGGGGTAGTGGTAAGCAGGGCAAGGCCATTCAACTCTTCTCTCTCTCTTTTTTTTTAAATGGTTAAAAGGTTCATGCAAATTTTATTTTTTCGGTAAATGTTGAACATCAATTTTAATAAGAAATATTTTTAAATTAAAGGTATTTTGTACATACATGTACTTATACAGAGCAATTAAACTGAATCATCTTCAGATAACTTTGGACATTATTTATCAAAAGACGGAATCTCATTTTTTGGTACAATTCTTGTTCTTGTTCATTATTCAGCTTCAACAAGTTGAATAATGTGTATTTCTTTTAAAATGTTGTTTTACAAATTTGGTATTTACATGTATTTGCAATTTTGCATTCCATGTAAGCATAAAACTCCATAGTGTCCATGGAAACTTGAATGTTATCATAGCTCACAAAGAAATCTATATTCATATCTACTTTCACTAGTAAAAATAAGCTGTAAAGTATTTACCTTTTTAATACCCCTAAGACAGATAATTTTATCAGGTCTTTTTATTTCAGGTTTTTTTTTTGGCAAATTGAATGTCATCACAAGCCATACGCTGAAAAAGCAAAGTAACTGTTACACTCACTTTTTTATAGTATTTGGATGAAAATAATATCAAAGATCTGAACGTCCAGTGGCTGCGTCGCCAGATCGGAATCGTATCCCAGGAACCTGTACTGTTTGATTGCAGTATCGCAGAAAACATAGCGTACGGGGATAACTTCAGAGAGGTTAAGATGGCAGAGATCATCGAGGCTGCCAGAAAAGCCAACATACACAGCTTTATTGAATCCTTACCAAGTGTAAGTCTGTGTCAAGGAACAATGGTAGAAAATGTTCAGGTCTTGGAAGCATTAAGTTGAGTAAAATTTGGATACACCCCTTCATTAATTAGGAATGGTATATATTGCATGGTTGAAGTTATCAAAATCAGTCTTTATAAAAATCTAACATAGGTGTGCATGTCAATTCATTTTAAATGTACAATTTAGTTATATGTATATGCTCAAGGAAAAAAAAAATTCATATCATGTATTATAGACAAGTTTAATAAATAAGAGTTGTTAGTTATTGACATTGCTGACATAACAGGTCAGTTCTTAAGATATTGGAGAAAAAATAATCAATTTTGTGTAACTTGTTTTATTTTGCATCATGGGTAAATTCTGTTAAAAATACTGACATTTTCTCTTTCCCACAGGGCTATGACACACTTTGTGGTGATAAGGGGACACAACTCTCAGGTGGACAGAAGCAGCGAGTGGCCATTGCCCGTGGACTGGTCAGAAATCCCAAGATCCTACTGTTGGACGAGGCCACATCTGCCCTCGATACAGAGAGTGAAAAGGTACATTGTTTATTTCTTAGTAAATTATGCGTTTAGCAATGCTTTTTACATGTTACATGTTTGCCTGTTTAACATTTATTCAAAGAAACAGTTTGTTGTGCAGCGGACGTGTTGACAGGAACTACAATCTTTTACCTATATATCAAGTGTTGCCACTGTGCGAAATTTTATTTTGTTTAGCCAGACATTAGAATTTGACATTACTGTGCTTGGCATAACTGGGATTCATCCATAACTGCACTATGAACAGTCGAGATATTTAGTGACAAAATATTGATTGAATGTTTAAAATGTTCCATTCTTGAAAAATTCTTGAATACATTCATATCATTAAATACATTAAAATTATTTTCAGATTGTCCAAGAAGCCCTTGACAAGGCACGAGAGGGAAGGACGTGTATCGTCATAGCTCACCGACTTTCTACGATCCAGAACGCGGACAAGATCTGTGTAATCAAACACGGGGAGGTTGTAGAACAGGGTCGCCATAGCGACCTAATGAGTAAACAAGGCATATACTACAGACTCGTAACCACAGCTCAATCAAGAGGCTGAATTCTGTGTTTGTATAGGTTTTGTAATTTATGACTATTTTTTTTAAAGAATTGCTATTCACAAGTACGACTGACCGGTGCAACTTATAAAGGTCCCAGTCTGCTTGTTTCTGTTGTATGTTATACGTGTAGTATTAATGTGCCTGGAAGTATTCACTAAAATGACAAAACTTGTATAGTGATACCAGTATAAGATATAATGCTGTTTCATGCTTCACTATGACATGTGTAGTACATTGAGAAGACTTTTATTTTTAGCAATGATGTAACACATTTCATGAAACAGACCAAAGAGAAATCTCAGGATTTTCATTGTTTGTCTAAGTGAATTGTTTAACGTCAAATATTTTTAAAGATTTTGTTCATATAGCTAAGGCTAATAATATTATGAAGGATTCATAAATGAGAACTACACAAACAGTAACATGCACAAATATTTTGCATTTTGAACACTTGTATACATCTTTTTGTAAGGATATTTAAATTAGAAAATGTATATACATATATGTGTCCTCAAATATTTACAAAATACATAGATGTGTACTTTGTTCAGGATTGCACATTTTTCATGCATTTTTATCTATATTTTATTCATTACTGACTATTTATTAACAACACATGACGTGAGCAGCCAAAAACTGTGTGTGTTTTTAATCTGTTGATACAAGCTGGTTAGGCTTTGGTATGTACTTGTAAGGTGCAATTTACTTTTGCATCAGGATTCTCATATCTACTGAATCTCAACTTTAGATTTAAGAGAACAAAGATTATATATTTATGCCAGGAATCTTGAAGAAATCAAAAGAGCTTACTTAAGTGTGTTGAGCTTATAATCATAATGCTGTGATTGACATATCATTGTTACCAGGATGTTGTGTGTATTATTATTGTATTTTATATACTGTATATCTGTTTTTCCTTTATTAATCATATGGGCCCAATGCAGAATGATTCATCAAATGAAAGCGGATCAAGTTAAATGCCAATGGACAGACTTTACACAATGGTCATAGTGCAGGCAATGATTCTCCTTGGTTATGTTGAATAAAAAAACATAAACTCAGTGAAAACTATTGTTTTAATTGCTGTATATTATGTTTATTTTTTTCAACGTGCACAAGTGATTATAACTGTGTACACATTCAAAAATAATGTAGCGGTGAAAATTCTTTAAAGATTACATAGAAATAGTGTTTACATAGAATTATGACCTTGTGAGGTAAAATGTATGTTTACAGTGTAATTGATATATTTCCAAGTCTTCAAATTATTTCTGCCAAATGCTTCAATGAAAAATGTGAAAACGAAAAATCATTTAAAGAAAGAATCTTCTTGGCAAACATAATTCATAACTTCAATAACTACAATTATCATTTTAGTAATATATATAGATATTTTAAAATATCTAAGTAATAAAGCGTGGTGCTGATACAAATTATTTTAAAAATGATGTCCAGAAAGTTTGTACACATAATAGTTGTATTATAAATGAATGTGTAAAGGAAAATGATTGATTTTTTCTCTGATGTTATTTGTAATCTTAATGGTCCTCAGACCTTTGAAGTTATTCATTGTTTTACTTTGAGGTCAATTAGAGGACAATGATTCATTTATAGAATACCAGACACATGTTAATGTCATATGTAGGCTATAATTTTAAGGGTGTTCATAACATGTAACATGTGGCTTTCCAATAAGATATTATATCTATATCCATAATCAAAATTAATCTGAGCAGAAGTTGAGGTGATGCCCTTGTACAGCTATAGAGCATTGGTATTACCCGGTTTTACAGTTCACACCAGCTATAGAGCATTGGTATTACCCGGTTTTACAGTTCACACCAGCTATAGAGCATTGGTGTTACCCGGTTTTACAGTTCACACCAGCTATAGAGCATTGGTATTACCCGGTTTTACAGTTCACACCAGCTATAGAGCATTGGTATTACCCGGTTTTACAGTTCACACCAGCTATAGAGCATTGGTATTACCCGGTTTTACAGTTCACACCAGCTATAGAGCATTGATATTACCCGGTTTTACAGTTCACACCAATTGATTATAATTGTCTCCAAGTTGATGCTTGATTTTCTTAGCATTTTTACCGGCCGCCAGGAGGCGGTCGGTTATATGATATGAAAGTTTGAAGTCGCTGTGCGTTTCTGCGGAGTTAAAACAATTCAAATAAAAAATATTTAAGATTAATAGAATAGTATATTTAAAAAAGCGTCTAAATGTTTTACAAGAACGCACAATAAACATAACATTAAAATTTTTTATAAAGAATGGGGTAAATTTTTCATCCAATCCTGATTGAGAAACTTTGACATGTTTGAGGTGCGGAGAAAATTAGGACATGTGTTGGGCATAGTCTAAAGCAAAGACCGCGTTAGCTATATTGCACAATTTTACTTTCTCTACTTAAACAGGATTTGTTGTACGTATTTATTTTAAAATGACATGTACACATGTACATATAAACATTCTCAAAAATATGGTTAAATGTTAATTCATCAAAAGACCTAGCAGGTTACAGAATATCACAAGATTTTGCCCTAGCAGACGAGGATAATGCGCGTTTTACAATGTGCCAAGAATTTTCCCGCTACAAACGAGAAACTGAAAGAGAAGAAATGTCGTGGCGGATCTAGAGGGAGTTTAGTTTTTTCCTCTAAGAGAGAGCAAAGAGTCCCACATATTTGTTGCGTTTTTATTAAATTAAAACTACACTGCATATCTAGTTGTAGATTACATTAAACTTTAGTTTTAAACTTTTAATGTAAATGCCTCTTAATTATACAGGCCCAAGGTTTGTTGACGCAGAGGACATGGGGTATTTTGCTTATATATACATGTAATACTGAACATGCGTTATATAATTAAGAAAATCATGCAATGTCTTGCACAAGCGTTTAATGTCACGAGGATTTATATTAACAGATAAATATAAGATATTTTAAAACAGATCACCATTTCAGTCTTTAGTTGCTTCATAAAAGGAACAATTAATATTGGTTTGCGGCCGATTTTTGACGCTTGCGTCAATATATGTTTCTTGTTGTTATTGTTTACAAGTGGGTGAGCATGTACACTGATGCTTATTTTTCTTTTCTTTATTTTTAAAGAATTTTAAACATTATTCACAGCAGAAGTATTCAACTGTTAAGTTTATACATGTGTACAAAATGATGTAGGTTTACAATGTATAAAAAAGTAATTACTGTAAACATGTTACATTTTGGCTGTGTGGTTTTTTTTAGTGCTTTTAGCAACTCCCTCTTATTGAATTGCACCACTAAACTACTGCACAATAAGAAAGCCACTAAAGCAAAGAAATGCCTTGTGTTTGCTTTATACTGCACAGTCTAAATATAAAACATTTGCAGTATATCATTCTTCTTATAGTTCTTACAAAGTTATGTGTGTGCATCATATTATATTTTGAATCATTTGAAGTGCTTTCAAAATATGTTTTATCTTTTTTTAGTACATTTATCTGTGTTAAATTGACATATCTTAGCCGGTTTCTTCTACCTCGGAAGCTTATACACTGAACTGTCAATTTCGGGTGTTTATCTAGATAAACTCTCCAACATATACACGTATAATGATTAAAGAATTGTGTTAGTAGAAGTCCCTTAAACCTGATCTTTATTTTATTTCGAATAAAAATTAAAAAAAAAAAAAAAATTGTTTTTTTGAGCTACATGTAAACTGGGACAGAGGAACTTGTCTTAGGCTTTGATATTTTGCAAATTTGAAAAAAAACTCCGCTTTTGTGCAAGTAAAACCTAACCATGCAGTGAATCTCTTTCAGATTCAGATTTGCTATTAAAATAATATAGCACCATCATGTTCTAAACCTTTGGTGTCCTAGGCACAGAAAACTATCGGTCTAATGGGGGGGGGGGGGGTGTCACAACTGATCTGGTCATTTGGGTAGGAAATAGTCCCCAAGGATCAGGGGTTCTGGTTTAAGGGTGGGGCTCTATTGATTATTTAGTGAAAATACATGTACATGAATTCTTTGAAAATGTTCTTCTCTTCTCCTGGTTATTAAGCAGAAGAACTACTTATATAGTAATGATGAGCAAGAGCCCTTCTTCCAGAATTGTCAGGGGTTTTCCTACCATTTTTAAACTGGGTCCGGGGTCCGTAGAATTGGGAAAATTGACGCGAAAACTGTTCAAATTGGGAAAATTTTTAAAAGGACCAATTTTGTTATTTCCCCACATCAATGAAAATGAAGGGACCAAAAAGTGTCTGTGTTTAGTAAACAACTGTAGACAGATATAAAGAGTCGCACATTATTCAGCTATTGTTGGATGATAAAAAAAAAATGCCCCCCAAAAAATTGCTATATATTTTGACTTATATAAAAGAAAAATATTTAAATGGCCATAATATTTTTTAATTGGATAATGAAAAATTCCAGAAAAAAATTTTATTTAGTTTTATTGATTCTTGACTGAAGTAAGGAAAAAGGTTTAAGTGATTAATTGGATAAAGGTGATTTTCAGATTTTTTTGTTAATATATATTCCATTTGTGACTAAGAATAAGTGAACATAATTTTTTCTTGCTGTATATTAAAAAAATGCAGGAAAACTGTTTAGTTTTACTTTACATTCACAACTGGAGTAAAAGATTTATAAATAAAAAAAAAACAATTTGTAAATAAAATTATGGAAATTAATTGTTATCTATATTGATTTCACTTTGTAGTAACATTAATTATAACAAATAAATGAAAATATAACTTTGAATAGACCTATGTTGGAAGATAGAGAAGTAGGATGACAGGTTTTTTGCGTTTAGGCAAATTAGTCAAACCCTTTCTATTTTTAGGTCATGCAAGGATGTGTAAGATCACTGACAACTTTCATGATAGGTGCAATCATTTTATGATCATTATAGGATTTAGGTGACTTGAATGAAACAAGTGATGTAATAACTAGTCACTTAACATCGTAGGTGATTTACCAAATGTGTTGCATCACTTATATTTATAGCTTGATGATACGATCACACGTTGAAACCTGTAGAGATTTTCAGACGTTTTCTTTCTGAACTTTCTTAAATTTTTGTCAAGGATACAAAATTGGGAAAAAAAGATTCAGAATTGGGAAAATATGGCTGATTTTTTAATTGGGAATGGGTCCGGTAAACGGACCCAAAAACAAGCCAGGAAAACCCCTGATTGTGAATTTCAAGGCCCCATGGTCAGGGGTACCATAGAGGGCTGGGGGGCTGGGCTTCTAATCTTATATACTGAAAATGAATTGTTTGAAATCTGCAAGTTTGTATTAATCAAATATTTTTGATAAGCAAGGGTGCCTTTTCAAAAATTGTGCAATGTGTGGACCTAGGGTTAGGGGCTCATGTGTGGTAGGAACACTACTGATTATTGATGAATATTACTGATTAGTTGAAATGCATTTTTTGTTCCCCTACCTTGCCTATGGGTATTAAGTGACCAAACTAAGCAATTTGTTAATAATATAGTTATGATTAGCAATGGTGCCTCTTTCAAAATTGTGAATGCCATAGCATCTGGCTTAAAATAAAAACCCAAT